CACTGTGTATCCTGAAACTGCTGACTTCTTATCATTTCCATCCCTAAGACATTAATTTGAGACCCTGTCATCTCTTGCATGGACAAATGCAATAGACTAGGATTCATTAACCTACCTGTATTTCAGCTCCTGCTCTTTTTCTCCAATGATTTACTTTCTACACAATAATTAAAGAGATTTTTTAAAAATGAAATCTGATATCATGGTACTACTTTGCTCAAAATTCTACAAGGTTGTGTTATCAATGTTACAATAAAATCCCTGCAAACCATACATAGACTGTAGACACATAACAAACTTTTTAAATTGATGGATAAAGTCAAGTGACTTGTCTAATGTCTTAAGTTTTAGGAGAAGCAAGATTGTTGTCTCAGACTTTGATACCCTGACACAGAGAAAACTGTCCTAAGTCTGTATAGCAACCTCTTGCTCTAGTCTAGTTATCGCGCTGAACTTTTTGAATTCTTGCTCCTTTCCAACTTTCACCAAAGTGTGGAGATTGTAGTGATAATACTGTTAGTAGCAGTGATTCCTAATTATCAATTAGGAATTATCAATTATCAGTTAGGAGAAGACGGCTTTGAACATCAGGCAGATACATCATATTTGTTTCAGATGCCTCCATGGCTACTGAAAAGTGTCTGAACTGACAACACTGAAGAATTTACAAGTTAATCATTCAGGGACTTGCAAATTGGGTATGGCTTATCCAGATTTGTTAGAGTATATAGATCGGGAGGAGAAATAGTTATTAATATTAAATTGGTACTTAGAGCCTAGTTAGATACAGCCTCATTCTCATTTTTTCATTAAACATTTTCCAACTGTTCTGTTCTTCCCTAGGGATTTTATTTTTCTTTTATTCTTTGCAAGATTAAATTTCAGTATTTATTAATGGGAAAATTTCAACTTTTTTTTTTTCTAGGGTTAAATATAACCTGAGCTTTGAATTTTGTCCCTTGTAATTGGTAGGTCTTTAAAAAATTTTTGTATTGCAGATAAATCAAACCTTGTCCTTGCTTCAGAATTTATTGCCAGAAGGAGCTGATATCAGAAGTGTTGTCTGCTCCATTTCATGCTCTGTAACACTAAAACTCTATAAAAAAATGTTACATAATGCACAAGACTGTGAAAACCTAAACACAGGCACAGAAAATCATAACATGCAGGTGGGATTCTTTCAAAGCAATTTAATTATTAAATGTTACTTTTATTTTTTTCATAAAAATGCCATTTTATTTTATTATTAAATTTATTGGAGTGATATTGGCTAATAAAGTTATATAGGTTTCAAGTGTACAATTCAATAATATGTCGTATGTGTATTACATTGTGTGTTCACCACAGGCAGTTAAGTTTCCTTCCATCACCTTATATTTGACCCCGTATTACATTGTGTGTTCACCACAGACAGTTAAGTTGACCCCAATGTCACTTTTAAAGATGTGGCAATACTTATGAGTAGTAGCTATGGGTTAAACTCATTATCAAACAGAAAATACGTGCTTGTCACTTGTTTGTTGAATATACATTGATATAAATGTATTGATCATATTCTTATGAAGTCATGAAGGGCTCTGTACAAAACAAGTTATAATAATTATTTTGTTTTCTGCAATGAGTTTGTCACTTCTTTCTTCCCTGACCAAAGGATAAACACCTACTTCATACTTGTTTTTGGCTGATCATGATGGCTGTTGAGAATGTCATAGACCAATTTTAGGAAATAGGTGTTGAGATTTAGTCTTTGCAAAAGCTGATGGAGAGCGGCATTGCTGACTGTGATGAGGGCGAACCTGGATAACTAGCCATCCACTCTGTTGGCCCAGAACTCATGTTTTCTGTTAATACCAATAATAATGGTGATACTACTATTAATAATAGCAGTTAATTTTTACTAAGTCTTTATTATGTGCTAATGCTAGGTAACTTATACACATATCATTAATCTTTACAGCCATTCTGCACTGTAGGTATTCTTGTAGGTATACTTTATAAATGAATAAGAGTCAAACAGCTACCTGGTGGCAGAGCTAGGATGTATACCCGTGTTTTTTTGTTTTTTGTTTTTTTTTTGCTGTACTGCACTGACTTAGCATATAGGCATATCTTGTACTAAGGAACTAAGGAACAGGTATGACAATAAGAAGCTTTATCACCCCTCTTGTATTTCTGCTTTGAGATTATAAATAAACAAGTACTAGATATGCCTCCAAACAGGTGACCATCCTCCACCATTTAAAAAAATGAAAGCATTATATACAGTAAATGCTGGAGCTCTATTTTGAAGAATCGTCACTCCTGAGCAAAATTAATAGTTTGTACTGTTTAAAAAAATAAAACATATGCTTATTATTTTTTTTCTTAAAATAAAATAACTGAAGAGAAATACATCTATTATATGAGAAAATTATGGGTAAGATGCTTTAAGATGGTGTCATTTCATATCTGAATGTTTACATTGCCTATGTGTAGATCGTACTTTTAAAATTCATGTTCTTCTAGGACTTGAAGAAACCACCTACACTAAATGAAGCAGCCGATCTTTGCAGAATGCACTGTCTTAGTGTGATTTTCCTTCAACATTTACCCCTGTCGCAAAGAGCTAAGAGTAGAATCATTACTTATATTTGGGACAGAACACTTCTACCATTTTTAAATATGGTAGGTGAACCTCATGAAAGTTCATAAATAATGTAAATTCAATAAGGCAAAAGTTGGAAGGCAGAATACTTTGCTTTTTCTGATTTGCTTTTTTCTGTATGCATTTTAAAAATTGCTACCAGCAAACAACATGTTTCTAGGAAAGATAGTCCTGTCATATGTAAAAGTACTCAATAAGTAAAGTAATTCAGCTTCATGAAAAATGACCCATACTCTGAAGAATTCTAAATAATCAATTTCTTTGAAGAAACAATTTTTACTATTGATATGTATGTGTAAAAAATGATTTATATCATTTACATGTGTATACTTTATTCATTAAAATAGAAAAATTAATGTAAAAGTCATTTGTCAGCTATTGTGAAACTTTAAAAATCTTAGTTTCCATATTTGTCATAGTGCTTCTCAGTTTTATATTTTTGTATAGTGTATTGCAATCTTATTTTGAATTAACACCTTAGTTCAAGGAAAAAAGTACATCTTGCAAAAAACTTTAACCAAAGAGAATATTACATAATCTCTTTTATTATAACTCTAAGCCTGCTAAGAGTAAAATCATTCCCATTAGGTTTAGCACAGTATGAGATAATGGGATACTAAGTTACATAAAGGTAAAGTAATGTTTTTATGAGATTTTGAGAAACCCATATAATACAGTAAATTAAGGTATAGTTATCATTGTAAAACTACATTGTTGATTTTATTACCTGATCATTATCGGCGCAATCATATTATGTATGCAGGTGATATTTTATTTTATATTTAAGAAACCCCATCTTATGTGTGATTGTATTTTATTTAGGCACTAACTCATTAAATGATGCCATAAGCAACTTTTAATTGAACCTCTCTATAACAATAAATTCTCTATAATGACTTTATTATTTTGGGTCAATAAAGGAATATTTTTTGTGTTCATGATTGTGCTGAGTTCAAAAGAATCATTTCATTTTAGAACTACAAGTTACCTAGGAAGATATAGATTAATCATGTTATCTTATAGTTGTGGAAAATGTAGCATAAAGGTAAGTCATTTGTATACAGTTATATATTTTGTTGATGCCAGAACATTGTGTTTTGATATTTACTCTAGTTTCTTTTTCTTTGTATAAGGCATAGATCCTGTTGAGGGAAGTTTAAAAACGATATGTGCATCCTGGAAAAATTTTATCATTAAAACATGCCTCTCTTCTTTTTTTTTTCCAGCTAAAGAAATGTACATTTTTCATCCTAAAACAATTAAAGGCTAGAAATAATTGGGATGTGAATTTCACTGGCCTGCCTGACTTAACTGATACTAGTTTGTGGAAAAATATTGCTTATTATTATGAAATTGAATATAATAGAGGTATGTTTTAAATAACTGTACAGTTAATTATTCATTTTTTGGTGGGTGGGTGAGAATCTGACAAATAATGGCAATGAGCTATTCATTAATTAATTACAATTGATAGGAAGTTTCTTCATGGTTATTTTCTTTGGAAAGTCTGAATTTTCACAAGAGGTAAATGGTTCCATGGAGGACCGTGTAAGGACTTTTTTTTTCCCCAAAACTATGAGACAATATCAGCTGTTTGGGGAAAAAAAGTTTAAATGAAAGGATTATATGGAGCTACCCCTAGAACAATGTGCTATGTTACCATTTATTGCATATCTTTGATATATAAGATCATATGCATATATTGTTTTGGACAAGGTACTGTTCCTGTGAAATCTGGAAAGGGTGTCAGGTTGTAGTATTATATGAAGGAGGAAGATGCACGATAAGGGGAACTCTGCCCCACTTTTCCCAGCAGGACCTGCAGAACCGATCTTGGCTCCTGGCTCCTTTATTTATCATATTGACGCCACGGACTGACATCTCATTGGCCTACCTGGTTTTGTTTTCTTAGTGACAGAAAATTATAGCAACGTCGGTAACAGTTCAAAGATATTTTTACTTTCTTATAACATTAGTTACAACATGAAAAATATACGAGAACCTATTCTGTTTTATTTTGAGCATCCAAGATGAGATTCTCACAGACGTAAACCTATGAAATAATTCACACACTTGTAAAACAGAAAATATGGTGACTATCACTCAGACTTTAATTATTAATTTGAATATATTTCTTCTTCTACCTAGGACTAAATTTGGGATTAGGTGACACTTTGATGCAGGAGTATCAGAAGTTGTGGAACATAGTCTTAACATTATCGGGGGACGAGGATTTCGGAGGACCCATACCCATTAGGACAACAACCAGACTGTTCCTTACACAGAAAGAAACAACACCTAGAGGTACTGACAATTTTTTAACATTAATCTCATTCAGGACAGAAAGAGATTAGCAATGTAATCCATGTTTAGAAAATAAACCTGACCTTTTAAAGTTCTTTTTTTTTAAAATTTATTTTTATTATGGTGACATTGGTTTAAAGTTCTGCCTTTTTTTCAGGATTAGTTCTGCTGATTAGCTTTCATAACTACACATTTTCTTTGCCTTTCCATCACTTTATTTGTTTACTTGCTTGCTTATCTATCTATCTATCTATCTATCTATCTATCTATCTATCTATCTATCTATCTATTGTGAGGACATGAGAAAAAAAGCTAACAGTTATTAAACACTACCAAATATTGTGCTTTACCCTTCACGTAAATTTTCTTTTTTGGTTTGCAAAAGGGCCCTACTCACGGTATTGTCAATCTCATTTTACAGATCAGGTCTCGAGAAGGTGTCATAAATCACATAGCTAATCCATGGTAGAAGATTTGAATCCATGTCTGTCTGTCTTCATAGTCAGGAACAGAGGCATCTTGTAATAATATCTTTACTGTATTTTCTACAAAAAAGTTTAGGTTTTGCTAAAGCTCATATGGAGAAACCGGCTTGTATTTAAGTAGACCTCTAGGAATTGTGATTGACAGATTAGACCAGCCTGTTTATGTGGAAAATTAGTCCCTGTTTATTTGGGACTAAATAAGACATATAAATGTTCTTTTAAGTTTCAACTAATCAAAGAAATAGATATTATTTGTATTACTATTTCATTTTATTAATATTGATGATTAAATTTAGAAATTTTTATAAACTTTATTTCCTTTGGTCTGTGGAAAAATAGGCATATTTCTTACTGCAGTTCAGAATAAATATTTGTCTTTTCCTGATTGTATAGTGATATTGTGACTATTCCTCAAATGCCTTCAACTTCAATTGCAATAAAATTCTACATCAGTTCACTTAATATATACTTACATTTGTGACTTATTAGGTGTAATATAAATTTGATTAAAACATCCTGATTTGCAACTTCAATAATACTTCAATTCTTTTGAAGTATTATTCATTTTGCAATGAACATCGAAAATGTTTAGCTTTGCTATTCCAGAAACATTTGCATCATGATGGTAAATTATTATTAGAGTTTTATATTCAAATGTTAATTGTATTCCTGAATACTACCAGGATCAAATCAAGAAATTCAAAAATTGGGACTCATTCCTCTGAAAGCTGAGATTATAGAAGATTATGCTGGAGATATTTTGTCGGAACTACCTTTTCTAAGCAGGTATTCACAGAAAAACTTTGCCTGTTTGTGATATCTATATTTCTATATCACTGGGTATAGTGAACTGGATTTATTGTTTACATATTTTATATATATGATTAAAATTCCCAGTTGGAAGATACATTTTAATGAGAATTTTAGTGAATTTGCTTTATTTATGTGATTGATTATCATAATTTTAAAAAATACTTCTGTATCTTTCTTAAAAAAACTTTCATTCCTCAATATAGAAATATCTCCTTTACCTTTTCCTCTGTAGTAGGTATAACAAGTTAAGGGTATGATTAAAGGAGCGGGTGTTAGAAGTATGGCAGTAGCTAAGATATAGAAATTAAAGGCCAGATGTGAAAGGAATTATTGATGTGGATCTCAAAATTATCGAGAATGATGAGAAAAGAAAATAGTAAGGAGAAAGGCAGTAAACTAGGTTTATATCTTCAGTGAAAGAAACAGAGCAACAGGGGGATAACTTTCACAACAAGGAAGGGTTGTTGGAGTTGACAGTGGATTAAGGCTGAATGAAGGATAACTATACTAAATTTATTCATTGTTTATCTGAAATTCAGATTTGTCTGTATAGCCTACATTTTTATTTGCATCATCTATCGATCCAATATTAGAGGCATATATTTCAATGGGATGGAAAGGGAAACAGATGTCTTGAAGCAGCAGAGACGAACAAGGAGGGTATACAATTGCCTCTAGGCCCAATAGGAAGAGAGTTATTGAAATAAAAAAAATTAGTCAAACTTGAAGAGGAAACAATGGAAGCAGAAAAGTTCCTCAGGGAAGAGTCAAGTTTTAGTCAGAGACATTTGGGTTAAAGGAGTATTCAAAGAAGAGTTTATGGATAAAGAAAATTGCTGTTGACAGTCTCTAAGTTCTAGAAGATGTAGTGAAGGGGTTTAGTAGGATTATTGAAATAGATTCAAATGAAGATTGTAGGCTGGTAATGATGTATGGTGACCTTATATGCGTAGACTGTGGGTGAAGAAAGATAAATGGACATATCTGGTCTGATGGTTCTAGTTCTGAAGGTGGCTTAAGAATTCCAAATATTAACCATCATTCTAGAGATGGATCTTTTAGGCAGTTAATGATGATGAGATAAGGAATGCTGGAATGTGTATGGTGGGCAAATTGTGATTATTGGTGGTCTCACAAGGAGACTGGAGCATTTGGAAGTAAAGTATACTAGTTGCATATATGACAGACCTCACTGTTAATCAAATAAAAAAATTAAAACTACAGTTAGTCATTATTCAACATTCTTCATTTGGGTAAAATTTACAAGACTAAGTGATGCCAAAGTGATGTCAAGATGTACGGCAATGGGAACAAGCCAGAAAGAGGATGGAAACGTCCAAACATTTACAATGGGATAGAAACTGGTGAGACCTAGTGAAGTTTGAGATGTGCATTTTCTACAATTTAACTAGAGAAAACTCTCCTGTGTTTGAGTAAGAAAAATTGCATTAATGACTTTTGCAGTAAGTTTGTATAGAAGTAAAATAAATGTACATCAGTAGGAAAATAAAAAGTATATTGTAGGAAATTAATACAATGCAAATATTCCACAGTGAAAATAAATACCTGTGCACAAACATATACATCAACATGTAATCTCAATATGATTTTGATAATCTCAAAATCATATTGTTCATGTAACGTAGTAAGGTAGAGAATGATATACCTTTCATGATATTTATGTGCAGTCTGAACTTGCATGGGCATGATAAATACAAGGTAGCAGTTGCTCTTTGGAAGAGAGAAGATCGAGATTTCTTAGCAGCATCTAGGAAATTTAAAATAATGTGCAATGTTTTATTTCTTTACAATAAATAAGATCTGAAGCAAATCTGGAAACCATTAACATTTAGCAAAGTGGGTAATCATTCCTGTGGTCATCTAGTATCATAAATTTATTTTTTGTTTTTTTAAATTAAATTTATTGGAGTGACATTGCTTAGTAAAATTATACAGGTTCAAGTGTACAATTCAATAATACATCATATGTATATTCCTTTATGTGTTCACCACCCTAAGTAAAATTTCCTTCCATCACCATATATTTGACTCCTTTTACCCTTATCACCTCCCCGCTCCCCTCTTCCCTCTGGTAACCACTAAACTGTTGTCTGTGTCCATTGTCTCTGTTTGTCATGTCCATTTGTTGCTTTCAGTTTTATATCCCACAAATAAGTGAGATCATATGGTTCTCAATTTTTTTCTGTCTGACTTATTTCATTTAGCATGATAATCTTAAGCCATCCCTGTTGTCACAAATGGCAGTATTTCATCTTTTCTTATGGCTGAGTAATATTCCATTGTATGTATATGCCACAGCTACTTTATCTAGTTATCTATCAAAGGACACATTTTTGCTAGCAAGTTTTGAGTTCATATTGCCAACTTTTCTTTTCTATGAAATCTGCAAATTATATCTTGACTCTGTCTTCTGAACTTCTGATTGTAATTGGATGTCTCATCCCACACTCAATGTGTAAATACCAAACTCCTGCTCTGGCAGGAATCTCATCTTCCCTTAGTGTTCCAATCTCCACATTCTCTTTTCTTCCAGTTTCTCAAGCCAGAATGCTTGGAATCATGCTTGACTTCTTTGTATTTTTTATACCACATCCAGTCTGTCAGCCAAACTCATTTTTCTTCTTTCAAAATATATGTAGAATATTTCCTTTTCTTGCTTCTGTCCGCTCTCCATATCGTGTATAATCTGCCATTGCCTCTCGATTATTGCAGTAGCCTGCCAACTGGTCTCCTACTTCTGCCTTTGTCTCCTTCACTGTGTGGTCAGCACAGAAGCCAGAAGGAGGCTGCTGAGGAAAAAAAAAATCAGATTATTTCTCTCCTCTGCACAAAACCTTTCAAGAATTTTCAACTCACTCAGGTAAAAAGGACTATGGAGTTCTATTGCTCTGTGTCCTCAAACCTACTTTCCTTTACCATTTTGACCTACTAATTTCCTACTAATCTCTCCCAAATTCTCTTGCTCTGTCCATGCTGGTCTCCCTGCTGTTCCTTTTTTCCCCCAGACTTATTGAGATATAATTGATATATAATATTGTGAAACTTTTAGATGTACAATGTGATGATTTGATACACAAATGTACTTCAAAATGATCACCATAATAAGTTTGTTAACATATTCATCACCTCACTTAATTATCCATTTTTTGTGGTGAGAACATTTAAGACCTACTCTCTTAGCAAGTTGCAAGTATACAATACAGTATTGTTAACTAAAGGCACCATGATGTACATTATAGACCCAGAACTTACTCCTTACAACTAGAAGTTTGTATTCTTTGACCTGTATCTCCCCATTTTTCCCATCCCCAGCCTCTGGCAGTTACCATTTGACTCTCTGTTTCTATGAGCTTAGTTTGTTTTTTGTTTTTTTTTGTTTTTTTTCAGATTCCACTTATGAATGATATATATGATATATGTCTTTCTCTGTCTGGATTTCTTTCTTTTTAATGGCTAGGTAATATTCCATTGTGTATGTATGTGTGTGCGTGTGTGTGTGCGCATGTGTGTGCGTGTGTGTGTGTGTGCGCCTGCCTGTCTATCACATTTTCTTTACTCATTCATCTATTAATGGATATTTAAATCGTTTCCATGTCTGGCTGTCACGTTTCTTGAACACAGCAGTTGCTCTCCTACCTTATGGCCTTTCTACTTGCTCAAAATGTTTTGACTCAGACAATCCTTAATCCATTGCTCAACTACCTATTCAGCAAGGCTTTTCCTGACCATTCCTCTTAAAACCACAGCATCTCCTTCTCTCAGAACTCACTAGCTTGTCTCCCTGCTTTATCTTTCTCCTTCATGCTTTTCACCATCTGGCATAGTATATATAGTCATGCACTGGGTAATGATGTTGCAGTCAGCAATGGCCACATATGTGATAGTGGTCCCATAAGATTATAATGATTGATAAGCAAAAAGTTTGTGATGTTGAAAGAAAAGGCTGGACCCAACTATGGTGTTGAATTTACCGCTAGTTCTGGGTAGTGTAAATAGTCAAGGAGGCTGTCTACCTGCCCTGCATCTCTGTGCCTGCCCAAGGCTCTGGCTCTGAGTTGGCGAGGGAGTGAGAAGAGTGGGCTGGGAAGGAGGGGAGCCAGGAGCCTGTCCTCCCGCTGTGCCTGTCCCTGCATATACACAGAAATGTGCGCATATACACAGAAATGCGCGGAGCGCGCACGCACGCGCGCGCGCGCGCACACACACACACACACACACACACACACACTCATATGGACAAAGTCATTTCCCTTCCTTTTCTCTTTATCTCTTTCCTTCCAGTCACTTTCTACTCTTTCTCCTTTTCTTTCCCTCCCTTTCTCCTTTTTGTTATTTCTCTTCTCAAACTTTATTTCTCTGGGTCTCTTTTGATCTCTGCTCTCCCTTTCTCTCCCCTACTCTTCCTTCCATCTCTCCCTCTTCCCTTTCTCCTGACATGTACTCTCCCTGTGAAGGCACCTCCCTCCACAGCCCTCTTACGGTCCCTGCAACATGTGAGTGCGTGTGCACACACTATCTCATACCATATTTTTTATTGTTCCCTTCCTATGTTTAGATACAAAAATACCATTGTGTTGCAATCCCTATAGTATTCAGTACAGTAACATGCTGAATAGATTTGTAGCCTAAGAGCAAGAGGTTATACCATGTAGCCTAGGTGTGTGGTAGGCTAGGCCATCTAGTTTTGTGTAAGTGAGCTCGATGATGTTTGCATGAGGAAATTACCTAACAATGCATTTGTCATAACATATTTGATCATTAAGCAACCCATGACTGTATTTTACCTTCATATTTCTTTATTGTCTGTAACCCTCTGTCATTATATAAACTCCACAAAGACAGTTTTCCTATGTCCGTTTTGTTCATTGACATATTCTCAGCATCTATAAGAGTGCCTGCTATGTGCAGGTACTCAATGAAAATTTTGGACTGAACGAATAGTAGGTTCACAGGTGTCATTCTCTAATTTTTTCTCTATGCTTGAAATATTTTACAAGTATACACACATACACACATGTTAAAATAATCTACAGGGGTCTCTCAACTTTAGAAATACCATCTTTTATAATTAAGGCTATGTATTTCATCATTATTTGGTACCTAATTCAATTCCACATACAAATAAATTCTTTTTTCTTTATTCTTTTATTGCTATAGAGATGACAGTTCTACAAATAGTCTTGCCCATTTCTTGGCTATTTCTTCATGAGATAAATTGTTTTTAAAAACATGTTTTGCTCATTTAGAACTATAAAATTAAGAGTAAAATTCCATTAAATAAGTTCATGGCTTACGGTAGAAATAATGTGTATATTTTAATGTATACTTTTTGATTTTTTTCCCCAGTGATGACCCAGCTGTTATATCTCTTTCTAAGAAGAAAGAATTTGATGAACTCAGACATTGGCATTCTTTTAGACTTCTCAGTGATGATTTTGAAAGGACTAGCTGCAACAGTGATGGTAAGTATAACTAATATATAGTAAACCTTTTCAACATGCTTACCTATTAAAGAATGGTATTGTATGTATAAGAAAAAGATGACTCATCTGAAATTAATGAAATCTAATTTATAGTCTCCTCCTTCACTCTCTCAGACTACCATACAAATTTCCACACCTTTCACATCAGAACCAGAGATAAGCTTGTTTCTATAGTATGAAAAATGTGATTCCAATCAATCCTTTGGGTAAAAAATCAGTTTTGTTGAGACAGGGTCTTTTAAGAAAATATTTTTAGGTTGCTACAACAAATTACATGTTATTAACTCTTCTTTAGTTCTTTGTTCTTTTCCATTAAAAATTCATGTTGTATTATCTCAGGAGACCCAATGCCTTCATTAATCACATTATATTTTCAGCATTTACCCAAATTAGTAGTTAAATTAATTACTTGCTTTAAAACACTGTTTACTAATTATATTAATAAGTGAAACATGTCTTAAATATTCAAATAATCTAATCGTTATTTTGGCATGAGTTATTATAGGTTAATATAGTTTTCTAATCTTATTTTCTTCTTGGATTTAAAATTGGTACCAGAAAATCTGTATAGGAAAAATTAAAAATCAGTTACACACACTTCGGATTTCTTATAGATTGGGAAGTGGAAGCCAGATTCGTATTACAGGTCTCTGACACATGCATTCAGCATCTATCCTGTGAATTGAGACCTATGATGTGTTCAGCTTTGTGATGAATTCTGAGAGTATAGCAGGGAACATGAAAGATATGTTCATGCTCTTGTAGTGCTCACAGTCTAGCAGGGAAAGCAGATGTTAAACACACTGTTACAGAGATAATATTTAAAATTATAATGAATACTACAATCAGGTGCAGAGGGTGTGAAGAGAGTTGGATTGAGGAATCTGGAAATTTTTAAGCCAAATCTGAAAGATGAAGACAGTTAACTGGGTGTGCGGTAGTGGTGGGGACCAGTAGGGCGACACCACGACAGGAAGCCATCAGAGAGCCTGGAGTACAGAGATTGATGTGAGGTGAGTTTGAATCATGCAGGCTTTAGTGAAGATTTTGAACAATAGAAGAGTAACAGGAAGCCACTGAAATGTTGAAACCACATGAGTAATATGGTCAGGTTTATATCTTAGAAGAATTGCTTTGGTAGTGCCAGGTAAGTACTAGACTAATTGGGGGGATCGCTTTGTAAATTATGGAAATGTCTAATCACAATGCTGTACACCTGAAACTAATATAAAATAATATTCTATATCAACTGTAATTAAAAAATAAAAATTAAAAAGAATTGCTTTGGCAGCAGAATACAAAAAGAATACATACCTTTTAGTTCTATCTGGTACTGCAGACAAAGAACAGTCTGCAAATTTTACTCTTGTTTCTAGAGTCTATTCTATGATATTACCTAAAATTTGATAAAGTCGTTTTAGCCAAATGTTTCTGACCTAATTTTGGAGTAGCTTTCAGATACTCTGTTTCTAAATCAGATGCTTTTGTGAGTGTCCATGTACTTTGTCCTTGACCCGGTGCTCAGTGCCATCACAGTGCCAAAGAGCTGAGTTTTCTGTTATGATTTTGATGTCCTGGAAGAAAAGGAAGGCATAAGCTCAACATCGACTTATTCTGTGAGATATATTCATAATGCCTAGTAGATTATAATGAAATGAAAATGCAAATGACAGACACTGACTTAGATTCATCCATGTTATTTAAATACGGCTCAAATAATTCGAGCTTCTATATCTCAATCTCTGACATGTCTATAATTTGATTAGTGCAAATTTTTAAGGATATTTGTCAAAGCCTTTTTCATGAATGTTCTCTGAATCAAACTCCTATTTATAAATAGCATTGTCAGCATATTTTAATAATTTTTTTGTTCCCTACAGCTAAATCCAAAGATGCTAAAGAAAGAAGGGAAATACAGAAATTACATCTTTTTTATCACATCTTGGGAAAATCTTTGATGGGAAGTAACAGATCAGTAAAGTTTATAACAAGAGGAACTCTACCACCTCCCAAAAATTCTTCCATGAAAAAAAAAACAAAACACCAGGTATAATCTTGGTCTATCAGGGCTCAGTCATGTAGGGGTCCTGAGGTCTACACTTTTCATCAGGGATCTTCATTAACAGTATCCACCATTATGCACATTGGTAATCTCATGCGTTATTAGAGAAGAAAAAACTCGTTTTTCTAAAAAAACTGTCAAATCGAGTATACTCAAAATACTAACCATGAATTATAAAAGATACCTTTATAATACTTGTAAAATGAAGAAAAGTATAATGGAGAAAACAATTCCAATAGGACCTTCACACAGAGTTAAACATTTTTAGCATTTTAGTGCATTTCCTTGCAGTCATTTTTCTTTTTATGTTATTAAAAATCTTTTGAAACACTTTTTTTTGTGGCTATATAATCTATAGTATGACATTCTATTATTTGTTTAATTTTTTCTTTTGAAATATAGAAAAACAGAAAAAAAGGAGAAAAAAAGTCTATACTCACATCTCACAATAACCACTATTATGATATACAAACTTTCAGTCATTTTTACTCATGATGTTTTTTTTTTCCCAAAAAATCCCTGTATGTACTTTTAATCTGTCTCCATCTATCATATATAATAGGCATTTTTCTGTGTCATTAAATATGCTTCCATAATAAGACATTGTTTCCCAAATTTTAAACAGCTTTTAAAAAATTATAAAGGTCAAAGATAAATTTGGGTTATTTAGGAAACTACTTTAAAAATCACTAAAATTTTACCCCACCCACAAAGTTACTTTTATTAACTTTCTGGTGACAATCCTTCCAAATATTTCAATCTATACATATTTAAAAACATACACTTGAACAATTTTAAAATTTACATATAGTTTTATTATTTTTCCCTATTAAACAATGTGTTTTGAAGAACTTTCTATTTCAATGAGTTCAAAATAAATTTTTTCTGTTAATATTTTCATGATAGTTTATAATATGTTTATTTTTCCATTTTTATTGTTTATTATGTTTCCATTATTTTACTATTATAACTTGTGCTATCATATTTGGATCTTTTACCTTTTTCTAATTTATTTAGAGAAGTAATTACTGGATGAAAGACTATAAAAAATTTTAGGGCTTTTGATATACATTTTTGATATTCATTTTAATATATATTCTCATTTTAGAGGGCTATCCCAAATTTTATTCTTATTTTAATATTATTATAAATAATAATAATATGTTATTGGTTTATTGAACTCTCATGGGAAAAACACTGTACTAAGTTACATAGTGAGTCATTGACCAAGGGTGGACTCTAGAACCTGCCCTTTTAGCCATTCAGTTATAATAATGACCTTTATCAATGTACGATAATGCCTGGCTTTTTTTTTTTTTTTTAATTCCTCTCGGTGAGAGGTTTTAATCTCAATTATTTGAACACTAGCGATATGAGTATATTTTTAAAATTTAGAATCCATTTGTGTTTATTCCCCTATGAATTTATCTCATGTCCTTTTATCTACTGCTGCTAGAGTATTTTCCTTTTGCTTTTTTATTGCTGAGAGCTATGCATATTTGTCATACATGTTGAAAATATTTTCTAAGTCTTCATTCTCTATTTTGTGCTTAAGGAAGTTCATTTTTTCTGGATGTTATCCCTGTAGACCACTCTCTCCTGGGATATCATTTTACCTCTGGTTAGGATGTGCTACTCGCATGAGGAGACAACGTTGTTTATTCCATTGTTTCTGTCCTGAAGAGGGAGAGGAAGAAAGAGAGTTAAATAAGGATGTACCCTGAGTTCTGGACAAGAAATTTGTTTTAGAGATCGGCTATGGCAACATTCTCTTTTTTATGCAGTAGTCCAGATATTACAATATTAGACCTGATGACTTTGTACCTCATTCAGACTTACTAGTTTTCTCTTGGGAATCACTGGGCAAAAGTAGTATTTGTTTTACTATAAAGCATAACATGCTACACTCCTGGGCAGTTTTTGTGATTACACCACAGTTTGTCTAATTTTATAAATGGTATATGCCCCTTAGACCCAACCCCACAGACGTGGAATGTCAGAACACAGGTTTTCAGCATAATAGATTGAGAAAATAATAGCTGAGGAGACAGAATGGGGAATGTTGAATTATTATGCTTGTATAAATATAGATGTTTGCATGTAATTATTTGGGTTCCTTAAGGTGCTACTTCAGTGTCCTAAATGGTAAACTAATGGCCTGAAATATTGTATATTTCTTTCAAAAATATCAATATTCTTCCAGATACATTTGTTTTATTGTTGATTTCTTCCTATTTCTTTGGTTTTTCTTAGAAGACAAATGCAGAAAAATTTATTGAGGAAAATCAAAAGAGACAACTAGCTAAACTAGAGAAAAGAGAGGAAGAAAGATGGAATAACTTGTCCTTACATATTGAAAAGGAAATTAAAGAAAATTTTAATTCTGGAATAAAAAGACTAGAAAATTTTCTCCAGACATGCCCTGTTAAGTCTGTAAAATTTACTGCAGAAATGGTAGGATTGGATACCTGTTTCAAATTATGGATGGAATGCTGTTTAAAACCAGGTATGTAAAATATTAATTTTAGAAATTCTTGAAATAATAAGTCAGTAAGAACAGAGCAAAAGAATTGATATTGCCCCATATGCTGGTTCTTCTGGTCTGTATGACATTGGGGATTCTTTTTGATGTCTAAAGAGTAAGCTTTCCTTTGTTTCATCTACTAATAACATGATGACTATTTGTGTATGTGATGGGTATTGGTGGATAGATTTAATATGAAATTCAATTCAGTAAACAGTTCTTCAAGGTCAGTCATGAGCTGAGTACCTCATTAGGTGCCCATGGGGCTTCTGAAGAGAAGGGCATGGGTTCTTCTCTGAAGCTACTTAATGAGCTATCTCCCAAGGGACTCAGGCACATGCTGAATTAACTGCAGTACAGTATGATAACCACAACCAAAACTATATGCAGTAAGTCCTCATGTAAATTCATCTATAGATCCTATGACTTTAAGCGTATAGTGAAACTAATTTTACCTTAGGGTTTTTGGAATAAACAGAAGTTAAGTTCTTATAGCATCTCATCAACACTATAATGAAACAACGTTAAACAAACTGGTGTTATTCGAGGACCTACTGTACGTGTGTGTGTGTGTGTGTGTGTGTGTGTGTGTATATATATATATATTACATGTAAGAAATTGAGGTTCCAGTATTGTGTGCCCAAATGTCAGTGACAGAGAAAGAACTTTAATATAACACTCATACTCCAAAGAATATGCACAAGTTAAATAATTAGTAAATTGGGGCACAACAATATTTTAGAAGAGCACCAGAGAATGAACATTTTTGTTTAGAGGGAAGATGACAGATATTTATCTCTTAATTGTGTTCACAGGAAAGTAAATATTAAGAGAGTAAAATATAGAATGGCCTTCTTTAAAAAATGTCAATTCAGCCCATATTCTGTATTAATTCTTGTATTAATAATAACTGCTGACATTATTGTATCATTTTACATGAATTAATTTGTTTAATCCTAATAGTAACTACGTGAAGTGAGACCTATTATTAGTATCTCCATGATCTGTATAAAGAAAATGAAGCTTAGACATGTAACTTTTTCAAGTTCCTAAGTCAAACACAGGCAAGTTAAATTTGAATTTCAGATAAATAACAAATTTTTTTAGGATAAGCATATGTTATGAAATACACATCTTAAACTGGATTTCCTGTATTTTTATTTACTGAAGTTGGCAACTCTATTCTATATAACTCAAGGTCACACTCAACTGCTAGTTACTATGAATTTCTCAATTATTATGAGTGATTCATATGGATATGCTTTTTTTAATCCTATATTCTTACATAACTTATGTATACTAATATTTTTTTCAACAGAAGCAGAATCCAGAGATATAAGCATAATAATTAATTTGATGAAAAAGGTTTACATACTTCATGAAAAATATTCAGAACTACTACAAAATATACATCGACAAAAATTAGCCAAATATCTAAAATATATTGGATTTGACAACTTAGCATACTCATTATGTCCTCAGGTAGATAGTATAAAAAATATTATATGACAATCATGTGTGTGTGTGTGAAATATTTTGTGTAATGTTTAGTAGAATTAATATATATCAGATTAAGTTAATGGTTAGCCAAGTATTATCCTATATAGACACTGATCTGATATTTTTTATGGTTTTGTTTTTTAGCTAGAATAAATGTTTCATTTGTACTAGGGGCACTATGGTCTAAATGTTTATGTCCTCTTCCCCACATTCATATGTTGAAATTTTAACCCCAGAGTGATGATATTTGGAACTGGAGTCTTTGGAAGGTGATTAGGGCTTGATGGCAGAGCTTTCTTGAATGGAATTACTGCCCTAAGAAAGAGACTCCAGAGAGCTAGCTTTTCCTTTCACTATGTGAGGTTATGGCAAAAAGATGGCCTTATAAAGTGCAGGCTCTTACCTGACACCAAATTTGCTACTGCCATGATCTTGAACTTTCTAACTTTCAAAACTATGAGACGTAAATGCTTGTTGTTTGCAATACACCCAGTTTATGGTATTTTTGTGGTAGTAGCCTCAGTGGATTAAATGCAGGAGCTCCCCATTTCACTTAGAACTTTTTTTTTTTTTTTTTTTTTTACCAGAGTCACAGGGCCCTAAGTATCTGGTCCTCAGTTACCAATCTGTTCCTGTTTCCAACCTGTTTGTTGAGTGAACAGAATTCCTTTTTTTTTTTGCCAAAGAGTATTATATCAGCTGTTTCTTCCCTATGAACGTCTGTTCCCTTGGATCTTAGCATGGCTTACTCCTTTAGTTGTTAATGTTTTAGGTGAACCATCATGTTATTAAAGAAACATTTTATGGCTGGCCTGAGACTATCCAATCTTAAGTTGCATTTCCTCTACTCTCCCCGCCACCCACAAAGTCACTAAGAAGTTTATTTCTCTTTCTGAATAGCATATATCACTATCTGAATATTTACATGTATGTTTACCCATTTATTTATTGTTTCTCAAAATTAGAATGTAAGTTCAATAGAACCATGGCATTTTAAAGTCTTGTTTATTGCTATGCCCCTTATATAGTAAATTTTACAAATCTGTTCAATAAATGAAAGGAAGAAATAAAGAAAAGATGTAAGGGTAAAGCGGAGGAAAGAATTCTACTATAGATGTGATTATTTCTTGTAAATTTTGTTGTTTATTCATTGGGGAAATTTCTGAAGACTTCTGGAAAGAATTAAAATTCACCCTTCAGAGAGATGGATCAAATTAAATTTTCCCCTAGGAAAATTTTACTTACTCTTGGATGTTTTTACATATACTGGTTCCTTTAAACTTCTTATTTGTCTTTAGCTGGTACTTCAAAAGAATTCTGTTTGAGAGAAAATATTTTTAAGTCAAAATATTTCTCCAAATAATGACTTGAGAACCATAAGAAGTACATTTAGAAACAGGGCAGCTGAACTTGTGCTATTTCTTGGTCTTGGTAGAGTGGAGCTACTTTCTGTTACTAGAGGAATGGAAGGGGTGGGGGACACCAGCTCAGGATGAATGGCCAGAAAAAAAAGACATAGCCTTTTGTTTTCTCTTGAACTAGTCCTTTCTATAATGGCTCTATGACTTTCCTAAGTCTTCATACCAGCCCACCACAGAGATGCAGCGTTTTGCTAGTTTGCCCATTCATGAAGAACACTAACAAGGGCCATAGTCCTTTCTAGCTATATCTTATTTCCATAAGCTCAAGGTGATTTTGGGCCACACCTTGGTAATTCTATAAATGCCTCTGGAGAGCATGAGGCCAGCTTTCCCAGGTGGCTTTTGTTCTCCCCTATTATACTTAACGTCTAGCACAGAAATAGCCCTGCATTTTGATTACCTAAGTGCGATAGCTAAAATTCAACTGTCATATTTAATAAGGCTTGTGAAGCTTTGTGGATATAGAAATGAATTACACTGCAGAAAAATATCTCAATGCAGAATATGAGATGAGCTCATAGTCCAGATCCAACCAAAGTATGGACAAGACATCTCTTTCTTTCTTTGTTCTATCCTTACCTCATATTTCCTGCATAGAGAGGGCCATGTTTCCTTAATGCTTTGAGGTACTTGAGATATTGGGAGAAATGATTTTTCCTAAAATAAATTTATAAGCTCAAAGAAAGCAATTCTGTGCCTCTTCTTTTTAAAAAACAACAACAACAACAACAACAACAACAACAACAACAACAACAACAAAAAAAACTAGGCAATGATGGACAGAATTCTAACTCCCCACTGTTTCCATCTCCAGGTCTGGAGTTTCTGCTCCAGCTCTGAAATAGGATATTTCCTTTATTATTGCATGACCAAAGTGTTACAGTTTCTTTTTTCTTTTTTCTTAAACATGAAAATAATTAGAAAAAAATGCTGCTAATTAAAATTTTTAAATTATATTTTTGGTAATTTTTAAATGAAAATTTTTTTCTGCTTCAGACCATCAATGTTTCAAAACATGTTTTATGGTTAATTCTCAACCAGGATGCCACAACATATGAATCTATATTTCTCATACTTTCCTTGTATTATCATAATCGAGTGCTATCAGAACTTCAAGAATAAAGGCTATGTGAAATATATGAATTTCTTGTAATGGTGAATTCCTTATTGATAAGTTATTTACTCATTGGGTAGAATTCTTTGAGTAAAATAATTTGTAAGATGATGTATGTTAATTATATATATTCTTATAAGAATATATATTTTTTTATTAAAGAAGCCCTTTTAAGATTAGCAAGAGTTCCTTAATTACAATACAATTTTTATTGTGTGTGGAGGGGTTGTTTGTATTTAACAGTTATCAAATATTATGCTGATTTATAATTAAAAGATTAATTCCATATTGCCTTTTGCTTATATTCTATGGAATATAGTATGACACATAAAAGTATTTTAAAAATTCTAATGAAGATATGGTATTTATATTTTATCTTCCTTTGTTAACTCTGAATAATCGTGAATGCAATCTTGTTGACACAAAGCAAACTACAACATGATTGATAATAATTTCCTTGCCCGGATTAAAAATTGTAAATATGAAAATCTAATATGTATCTTTATTTTAGGTGCAGGAATCAGATACTAAGAAGGATATTTCTAAATATTCAGTTCACATGGGAGCAGCTCGGTTTCAGTTAACACACATGAGCCCTTACTTATTTCGAGAAGAAAGAAGTGATCCGGATCCCAGGGTTCATCATTTTATACCCGACACATGGCAGGTATTTACTGAGACGATCTGCAGCCCAGGAAGTTGAAGAAACTTGATGGAAACAGTTGGTTCAGATCTAATAGTATGCAACAAATTTTGGATATGTAAATCATTATAGAATGCAACATGATGACCATGAAAATAAATTCATGTTTTGACTTAAGAGATAAAAGAACACAGAAAAGAGTCAGTTGAAATGAAAAAAAATATTGGTTCTATTAAATGATAGAGGCTGGATTAAAAATGAGTCTAACTCCAATTAGACTTCTCTTAACTATTACATTATATAATATATACATCTGTTTAATTTCAAGTCTAAAATATAGTGCCTGATGTTTAATGATATGTGTTTGGTGAGAGTTCACTATTCTTTGAAACAATGGTGCTATCAGATTATCCAAACGTTAAACAGCAGAGTCATTCATAATATATCATGATAAAAAATGATAAATGTGTAGCCTGTTATATATGTGTATATTTTTTGAAAAAACTTCTATTTTCTAAAACTTATTCATTTTATGACCTTTAATTTATAAACAGAAAAATGGATTTCAAACAACAGCAGATTTGGGCAATTTTGATTTCAGTCTGAGGTTCCCCAACTCAAGTTAAAATGAATGCAAAGAGCTGGGCTGCATAATAACCTGGGCAGGCCCCTAGCAATGACATCTGTTTATTAGGGTATTTTTCTCTAAGTTTAAGAGAAGAATTTTTTTAGTAGAAAGTGAGATGTGAATTGAGTTATTTCCAAATAACAGTAAATGATGATTCCCTTAACTACCTGCCATCTTGAACACTACGTCTCAGAAAGAACTGTGTATACTAATTCACCTTAGAGATAATTGCCATTAAATTAAAAATTGACACTAAAGATGTATTTTAAAAATGAAATATGATTCTTTTCTTATCTAGAGAGAACTTCTTGATGTTGTAGATAATAATGAATCTGCTGTAATTGTTGCCCCGACGTCATCAGGGAAAACCTATGCTTCTTACTACTGCATGGAGAAAATCCTGAGAGAGAGCGATGAAGGGGTGGTTGTGTATGTTGCTCCAACAAAGGTATTGTGTCTATATGACACTATATATCTTACAGTAATTTTCCTCAACTGTAATTTGTGCCTTTATTCATAGAGAGGTGTCAGAGTGTATAGGCTTCAGTTTTGTAGTCATGGATGTGAAGGCCTCGAGCTAGTTTTTTTACCTTAGTTTCTCTACCTGTAAAAAGAGAATAATGATGCTTACATTACAGAGTAGTCTCCCTTATCCATGGTTTTGCTTTCCATAGTTTTCGTTACTCATGGTCACCTGCGGTCCAAAAATATTAAATGGAAAATTCTAGACATGAACAATTCATAAGGTTTCAATTGTGTACCATTCTGAGTAGCATGATAAAATCTTGCATTATCCCATTCTGTCCCTCCTGGTATGTGAATCATCCCTGTGTCCAGTGTACTATATATATAAGGATTCCTACTATCTAAGGTTTCAGGCATCCACTGGGAATCATAGAATATATGCCTTACAGATAAGAGGGAACTGCTGTACTTTTATTCTAAGCATTAAGTGAAATGATATATGTAAAGTATCTAATAGTATTGTCTGGGTGTAAACAATGATCAATAAGTGGTACTATTCACCCTTATTTTTTATTCATTTTATTGCTTAAACCTCCTTAGGACCAATACTTATTAAAAATAAGGATTTGACACTTATGGGAATTTTGCTAAAAGAAACCATTTGATATTTGTGCCAGGGTTAAGAGATTATAGGCAAGTTCATGAGAGAAAGAAAGGGAGAGGAAAAGGCAGCTATTCTCAGTTTTACCTTCTCCTTGGTTGGATAAATGCTTTGTGGAATAACCCCTGATTATTGCAAGTGCTATAGGCTTCTTCCTCTAGAGCAATGTGTCTAAAACAAAGTTGAGCTGTTCTTAGCTAAATCAGAATTTTTCTCTTCATTTAGAAGGGATTTGGGGTATTCCTCTCTCTCCTTTCTTAAGAGAATACTTAATTGCAGACCTTAAAGATGTACTGAGAGGAAACTCAGAATGCTAGTTTTGGGAGGGATCATCTCTATAATACAACCTAGTCCTCTCATTTTCCAGATGAGAAAACTAATGCTTAGTGAAGTATTGTGCTGATCATTGGAGAGCCAATTAGATTTTTAAATTAAAAAATCGTCATCTGATTTCACCTGTACAAATATATATCACATTTATGTGTTATAGATTATTGTTTATTATTTCTAGCTATCACATTAATAAACAGTATGCCATATTGTACATTAAGGAAACTTTAAAATGTAACCATTGGGAAGCATTGGGTACTAGTAATTCTTTTATTAAGAAAGAAATACAAAATTGGTACTGAAATTTTTTGTGTGTAAGTTTGTTTTAGACATTGGTTTACTTTAAACAATTTTTTGTGTTGTTAGTATTTACTAAATAGCAGATTATGTCTTTTATGATTTAAGGCTCTTGTTAATCAAGTGGTAGGAACTGTCTACAGTTTATTTACCAAAACATTGCCAAAAGGATTAGTGGTGTGTGGAGTTTTTACAAGAGATTACCGTCATGACACCTTGAATTGTCAGGTATGTCACAGACATGAACACATAATAAGTAACAATGTATGTTACGACACTTTGGTAGCCACTTCAAGGTTTTAATGTGAAGATAAATTAACTTCACAATTACATTGATGAATATATTTATATTTGAGCATATTATTTTTCTTATTTGTAATTTGGTTAATTTTCAAATAATTTTCTATACAAATTAGAATATGCATTTCTTTTCTGAAATTTACAACTTTCTTCAATGGTGATGGTTTCAAATTGTGATGATTTATATTCCTAATATGTGAGAGAATAGTTATTAATGAAATAAGCTTAACATTATTGAATGCGTCAACAGCAACATACATCTGTTATACAAATTCATTTTACCTTTCCACAAATGAGATGGTTTTTAAAGCCAATATAAATATACTGTTATCTAAAATATTTTATTGAAGTTTAAAAGTTAAAGCTTGATCTTTAAAAAAAGTCAATGGTTACCTATTTTTTTAAAAAAACAGATATTGGTGACAGTACCTCAGTGTTTGGAAATACTCTTGCTATCACCTCATAGACAACAGTGGGTGAAAAGGATGAGATATGTCATATTTGATGAGGTACGCAACCTTTCATTACTAATATCCCAACTAAATAGTTTTCTATATATAAAATACATAATTTATGTATTTTAGTAAAAGTGGTGATCATATGGATAGTTATTAAAATATTCAGTTTATTAAAGAGGTATGTGCTTGTGGTAAAAAACAGATCTGGAAGGAGTTGGAATGGGAAAATGGAAACAAATTCTAGATTAAAAGTGATAGTAGCAGAGAAAAAGAATCCCAGAAATCGTTGGAGACACCCGTGACTAATTAGCAATAGAAATTTTTCTTTAACTCCATGACTTTTATCCCACTGAACTATTTTTTAAGAGGTATTTCCTTCTTTACATATATATATATATATATGTATAGATATATATTTACCTATTACTGAGTGCATTCATGACTAAAATTAGTCATATTTTCTATATTGCTAGTTAAAAAAATCTCATACTTCTTGCTAGCATTAGTTTGATAAATAATACTAGGAAAGAAATAAAAAGGAGGCTATAAATAAGCAAACAAAACAAGCAGGCTAAAATAAACAAATAAAATAGGCAGTCTTCAAATTTAGGAAGATGACGTGTAATTTGAACATTAATTTTAAGTTTTTTTCTGATACATGTACATATTCTTTTCTAATAATGCATTGAAGGTTATACATTAATCTTAAAATACTTCTTTAGCAACACTTAAACACTTCGTTTTTTATCATTCAGTTTAAAATGTCTTTTAATGCAATCATTATTTTGTTTTTGGTTTGGAGTTAATTAGAAATACATATCTTAATTTCCAAATATAATTTTAAAAAACTTTATTTTTGGTTTGTAAAAATTAGAATCTGACAGTTTCCAGTGTTGCTGAGGAAGCGGAGCAGTGGGAAGCTCATACACTGTTTGTCGGTGCAACTATGAAAATTGTTTTGACAAAAATTAATTAAAAGGATCATACTTCATGAACAAGGAATTGTAGTTATATACCCTAGTACTAGAAAAACAAGATTTAAGATCTTCAAATATAAGACAATTTAAGAACTCTCACATATGTGGACCAGGAGACCTGTACAAAATGTTCAGAGCAGCATTCTAATGTCCATTAGAGTGGAAATAATAAACAAAAGAATGGAATAGTCAATACAATAGAATACATAGAACAATGAAAATGAATATAACAGAATAATTATAAAATCATAATATTGATCAAAGGAAGCTAGACACAAAAGAACGCATGTTATGTAATGCAAATTATAAAACATTACCAAACCAGCAAAATCAATTTATATTGTTTCTGAACACACATATATGTATGTATGTGTATGTGTGTGTGTATATATATATATTTATAGTTATCAACATATATAGTTATATATATATTGACATATATAAATGATAGTTATATAACTATACATAGATACATATAAAACTACATATATAGATATATATATAGAGAGAAATATAATGAAAACCAAGTCATAATTTTTTTTAAAAAGCGACATAGTAACTGTCAAAGGAGGTGGTTATAATATGGACTTGAGGTAATGGAACTGTTTGTCTTGATTTGTGAGGATGTTTGCTTTACTTGATTAATTTGAGTAACGGATTCTTAATATCAAAGTCTATTTTTATACAATTTATTGGCTGTTATATTTCACAATAAAACAAACGTTAAAAAATGCAAGGATTGACTTAGGCATAAATAATTACATTACATGTGTGGTGTTACACATAAAATTCTAATAGCTAATATTATTTTAATGTGTACTGTGGATATTTATTCTAAATGATTCCCACTTCTAAAGCCATTTACTCTTCAGAAAACCTAATAAAGTCGTTACTATTATTATGACTACTGAGTTAAGGCAAAGAGATTACCTTTCCCCAATTCACCCCACGTTAAGCGGCAGAGCCAAGATTAGAATGCAGGTAAGCCCACTTTTCTGTGCTTTTAATGTTTTTTAGTACTATTACTTTTCTGTTTTTAATGCAGCCCAGACATACAGAACCATCTGTACATGTAAAAAGATGAGATTAAATGTCCTCAAACATAACAATGAAGTAAAAAACTGCAAAATGTTGATTTTAAATGTTTTCATCTATGGTTAAAATACTAAAAACAGTGCTTCTTACCGAGTCTCACTCCATCATCATAAACTCCACATTCATCTTTTATTTATCATTCTATGGCACTTCAAACCACACATACTTTATTAAAATGACCTTGTTATCAATATATTTCCGATGTCCTCTACATGTTTTCCTTTCCCTTTTTTCTTACTATTTTGACTAAACGCTTTTTGAAAACTACTCTACCTCTCCACAACGCCCGCTTCACAGTGACTTATAAAGGATAAATGCTTCAGTAAAAATCAGAAATAAAGTATAAACATGAGATTTTGAAATTGAGTTGTTATTTCTTTTTTCTCATTCTATAAAATATAGGGTATAAAATACAAAAGGACCTAATTTGACTAAGAAAAAGTTTATTATTAGCTGAGAGTTTTACAGAAATTATTTAAAGTCAAGTCTTTTAAAGTTGTTCTGGCTTTTGTATATTATTATTAATTGTCCATATTATTGTGGTAAACTAATAATGAATGAGCTAATAATCACTGCACTCATCTTGACCCCAATTACATTCAGGGGACTAGGTTTTCTCTAGATTTCTAACTAGTGTAGAATAAATGCTCTATGTATATTTGTAGACTGAAGCCTAAAGAAGTTTACTCATTTCAAATTAATTTATTTCACAAATGTTTTTATCTGTATTTCAGTGGGAAAATTAGTGACACATGAGTAAATGCTTTATTTTATAGAAATTTTTTTCATCTTATCTTTTTTGTGACAATCACTATAATTTAGCCAATATTTCATTTGTAAACAAGACTTTAAAAATGTGTCCTTTTGTTCAACTTGTTGTTGTTTGTGAGTATTATTATCATCGAATGTAATAATCTTTTTCACAGTTCAGCTATTGTCATGCCTTATAGAGCAAGTCATCTTTTGATGTGTTATTCTCAAACCCACTTTAATTCTTCTCAAAATCATGTTGAGATTCTTTGACCACTTTTTTTTAAAATTTATTTTTTATTAAATTTATTGAGGTAACATTGGTTAATAAAATTATATAGGTTTCAAGCGTACAATTCAATAATACATTATATGTATATTGCTTTGTGTGTTCGCCACTCAAAGTTAAATTTCTTTTTGGCACCGTATATGTGGTCCCCTTTCCCTCTGGTAACCACTAGACTGTTGTCTGCCTATGAGTTTTTGTTGGTTTGTTTTATTTGTTGCTTTCAGTTTTATATCTCACATATGAGTGAAATCATATGGTTCTCAATGTTGTAAGTGGGTGAATGAACATTACTGAATGTGGAGAAAGACGGGAATAGCAAATTCTGGTAGCATAATCTATTAACATGTTGAGAAAAAATTGTAACTGACTTTATACTGAGTCTAACCACATTGTCAGGTTCACTGTCTTGGGGGAGAAATTGGAGCAGAAGTTTGGGAACATCTTCTTGTGATGATTCGGTGTCCTTTTCTGGCACTTTCTGCTACTATCAGTAATCCTGAACATCTGACTGAGTAAGCCTGAGTTTTGCATTTGTTATCATTGTTATTAGTGATGATGAGGATGATGATGATGATGATGATGATAATAATAATAACAAAAATAAACAATTCAGCCATAGATTCTTTAAAATGATTTCTAAAACAAAACAAAAAGTCTCTTCAAGTAAGACTTATTTTCTTCAAATTTTATTATATTTAACTAGAAAATATTTACTCTCATCCTTTGTCTAGATGTAATTTATATGTTTTTCTGGTTCTTCAATCAAGAACCACTCTTGTGTGTGTGATTTTTCTGTTTATAGTTTGATATTTAGATCTCAGAGGACAGCATAAGCAGTTTAGAACTATCCTTCCAATATACTATGCACACTACTTACCTATGCAGAACACCAAAATGTTTTCAATATGAGTCAACGCATATAGCAGAAATGGATATAACTGTTTTACTGGGTCAATAAATGTCACAAGAAACCTCAAATTATCAGTTCTCGGTGACTGTAAAACTAACAACTGATTAAACTATGTGACTGTAAGTATAGCTTTAATATGTTCAAAGTTTAGGGAGGATTTTTATTCTGTTAGAATCAATTTTTAATGATTTTTCTTAGAAAACTAATGATATTATAGATTTATTCTTCTATGACAATAATTCCTTTCTTTTTTTAAATAACTAGATGGTTGGTGTTAATTAAAAGATACTGGCAACATGTTGAGAGCACAATGGAAAATTCTGATCCATCACAAAATGCCTTGAAAGTTTCAAAGAAACAACAAAGAAAAAGAATAGAAAAGCCATCATACAGAGTTAGACTGGGTATGACTATCTTAACCTAGGAGAAGGGTGCTCAAAATTGTTTTGATCATGCTACTTGTTTGTAACATAAAAGGGCAAAATTGTTTAGATCATGCTGCTCGTTTGTAACATAAATGTAAAACAGTTTGGTTCTTACCACAGCTCTGAAGGGAAATCAGTTTTGTTTTAATATGCAGAGGAAACTAAATAAGTAAGAAACAGCTTTAGGAGAGTAAGTGATATGCTGAAGCCCACGGAGCTAACAAATGGTGGATCTATTAAACTTGAAGATCAAGCTCTTTCCAAAGATAATCTATTTTGAAATAATGTGAATCCCTGCATAATTTAGTGTGATTAAGAATGGAATTGTAGCAAGAATAAATGTTTCACTCCATATTAAAGGCAAAAACATTTCTAGAGGGCAGTTCAGTTTTGGTTTGCTGAAAACCATTGCTTCAAGATATCCTTTTTCACTTGTAGTCTAGTTCTTTGCTATCGCTCTTGTTTCATATCACAGTAGTCTTTTTTTTCATGAATTTTTTTGATGTTTGGATTATTTATTGTTCCTCAAAACTTGCCTTTGCTTTTTATGTCCTTTTACTGGGATGACTTTTCATCTACACTTGACTGAATTCTTTCTATTCATTCTTTAAGAGGCATCGCCTAGAGGCACTGCTCAAATGCTACCTTGATTCTTTCAGTTTAAGTCTCACAGTACGTCCTACGTTATGACATTTCCTACTGCACTATAGCTGTTCTTCACATCCCTTATTTCCCTCGGAAAACACTAGACATTTTAAACATATATGTAGATTTAAGTAAACAGATAATATAATGTATTACATACATAAAACATATATGTATATTTGCTTTTAATCCATATTATGGTGTCTTATAGTTTATATATACTCTAAATATTTTACTACTGAATTAATGAATGTTGCTATACCTTATATACTTGAACTGTTTTCATGAGAATTCCATAAAGTAGTATAAAATCATATTTTTCTGGCTACTTTCCAACTGAAAGCTGCAGATCCCCATGTATGACACTCATGCTTTCACTTAAGAAATATTAAGGTTCCTAATATATACCAGGCCCTACTATCGTCCCCAGAATTACAATAGGAAACAAACTTTGCTTTTCTGGAGCTTAAATTTTAACATAGACATAAAGATTAAACAAGATGAATAGTAAATAAAATAAAAATAAAATAAATAGCATGTTAGGTAGTGGTAAGTGCTAAGAAAAAAATAAAGCCAAGTGTAATATTAATAGAGATATTTGGAATATCAGTTTCAATTTAAAAAAATGAACGAAACCCAAAAGACACATATTCTTTCTTTGACCTGGTAATACTATTCTTAAAGATAGAGAGATAATATAATAATAATAATAATAGTAATCCTTAATGTTCCTGATTAAATAATTGTCTGTCTATATATCTATTTGTCTCATGCCCCATCACACAAAGACATGCTTTACAAGAATAAATAGAGAAATAAATTAGAAAATCATAATTAAACACTAGAAACTGAATGATGGTGATAGAACATAACTGCGGATTAAGACCAGGAGGAAAACTAAAGCACAGATGTGTGATACAGGTACATGGAGCCCTCTTTCAAGGTTCTTCCCAATGCACAGCAGTGTCTCTAGAGTTTTATTTGCAATGGGCTCATGCATAGCTCTTCCTAGGCCTGCGTATATTTGTAAAATTATAATTAGGTCATTGTTTTGAAAGCAAATAGATTTGAATGATTATTTCAATCCTATATTTACAGTATGGTACAAAGAGCGATACAATGATCTAGAGAAGTATGTGTGTTCCCTAAAGGATAACGACTTTATCATTGAACACTATCACCCATGTGCTGCACTCACCGTCAACCATGTAAGCATAAACCACTTTGGAAAATGAATATGTGTCCAGATTGCTAAACATCTATCTGTATATGGGATGTAAAATTAATAATTTTTTTATGGTTTTTAGATAAAGAAATATGGAATTCCTTTAGACCTTGGATTTTCTCCACGGGAAAGCATATTGCTTTATGATGCTATGGTACACGTTTGGCCAGAATGGACAAGAATGCAGGTGTGTATGTATATATACATCCTATGGCTGATATCCATAGTTCTTTGGCTATGGCAGTCCATCAGTAATAAGCAGATCCATGAATGATATTTATTTTGGTATAGGTAAAGGTCGCATATTTTATTGTTAAGAATTTAAAATCCAGAGCTGCAGTACTTCAGAATTGGGCAAATTAGTGAATTTTTCTATAGATATTCATATTTTTTTCCCTGCCAGAAAATAATATCTACTTCGTTGGGTTATTATGAAGATAAACTGAATTGTTATTTGTAAAGTGCTTAGAATACTGCCTTGCCATGGTAAGAACATGTATTTAAAAAAAATTTTGAAATTTTTTCTTTTACCTCTAAAGCTAATTGCAATATTTAAAAATAGTTAGTGTTGGTAGGTTCTAATGAAAACAGTAATATGCAACCATTACATAGAGAACAGAGCCTACGAGCCTACGTGCAATTAACTCTGTAACTGAATATGGAGGAGTATTGACTGCTTGGGAGATTTACTTCATAGTCTTGCATATGGAAAACTTTAGAAAAGGATGATGATTTAATTTTCCTTGGTATTTGTGGTTCTTCGTTTTCTAGGAGTTAGAACCTGAAGAATTCAGCTGCTTCAAAAATAAAATAGTAATCACGAGGGCAGATGCCAAGAAATATGAGGAAGAACTAAAAAAGGAGATAATTCGTTGGATTCAGCTGGACCCAAGCAAGGTAGTTAAAACCATTTAGGATTTACTAAAATCGAAGATTAATATGAAATGGATCTGACTTCTTCATTTAGGTTCAGAGAATCACCCATAAAGCTCTCGATTTGAAGATGAATACCCTATTGCATGTTTTGCTGTTGTACCTTAAATTTAGTTAGCTAGATATGGAAAAATGCAAAGAATTATTACTTGAGTTCCAGCTTGGACAACGCACACATGCCACTATGTCTATTCTGAATCTGCATTTCAGAGAATAAAACTGAAGTTGGGCTCTTATTTTTCATTGAAGATAGAACTTCTCTGATTTCTGATACCACTGGGTTATTACCTTGATTTTCTTCTCCAATATTTTTCTAAGAAAGACCTTTTATCTCTTTACTTATCTGGATAATTGAATGACCAATTTGTTTCTGTTACCAACAAATGGATAGATAAGATAAATTATAATATTACTTAATTCATCTCACTTACTTTAAGTTCTGTTCTTTGACTTTTCTTTTTTGTGATGATCAAAAAAATCCCTCTGATACTTTACTTCCTGAAAATCAGTACTACTTCAATGCACAAGTAGTGGCACATGTCCATGGTTACCCAGAGCTAGCTCACCAGAAGGAAAGGAGTTTGGACCAACTCATTTACCTATACTGACATGTAATATCAAACAATCTTGACCACTTGAGGCCCTAAGTCATAGTTAAGATGTGATCACTTCTTGATTAGCACGATCTCAGGTAATGGAAGCAGGGTTTTTAAATCATCTCTACTTCCTTCCTTCTCATTCCATGTGGAAAGGAGCCCATGTTTTTCTTTTTAAATTTTAATTGCACACTGACTACCTGATCTGCATATTCAAAAACTACCTAATGCCAAGAATTGCTATTATATTAAATATAGGTCTTCAATACTAGCTGCTTATTAAAAGGTAAGCTTATTAAAAATTCTGATTTGATTGGCTTTGCATGGGGCTGGGGCTCTAAAACTTTATAACAAATTTCTGTGAAATTTTCATGTGCAGACAGAATTGAGAATCTTTGCCTATTTTTGCTATTTGTTGATATCTGTCAACAGATATCAACAAATCTTCATTGACATACTTTAGTGTCAGAGTCAGTAACAATCGTTTTTCTGTGTTGACATCCATAATAGTTTCTTTTTTTTTTTTCCTGAAGTTCATGGAAGCTGTATCTTTAGAAAGTCTAGTTTTATTATATTCAGGCAGAACTTTTATTGTATGTCTCGTGGTTTAATTTTTGTTTCATTTTCCTTTATATTTTTTCCTACTAGTTTATTTTCTTATCCATGTCCCTTCCTCCTTTGGCTCTCTTGGCCCTGGATTTATTTATTCATATTTTTTTAGAACTTCTTGTTCTGGAGTTATTGTTCTGCTTCCAAATTCTTATCATCTAATCTCAACATTTTCGTAATCTTTTGTGTTTATTGGCGATAATTTTCTTTCCTCTTGAGAAGGGGTCATATTTCAATGTTCCTTATATGTTGTTATTTGGGAGAATTGTCTTCTGTTATTTTTGGACAGTGAATGTTATGTCATGGGGATTCTGTATTATGTTATAGTCCTCTGAAGAGTGTTTTTATTTTAAGAGTCAATTAACTTAAATTCAAATTACAAATTTTATCTTCTGAGTGTCAGCTAAATCTTTATTTTGTCATCTTTTGTTGGGTTGTATGAAGTTTGCCTTGCACACATATGGGTCAATAGTTAGACAAAATTGGGCTTAGTTTATTCATAGATTTTATGAATTGTTTAGCTTTCTCCTTTCTGGGATTCTCCCCTCACTTCTTAGTGACTATTGTTCTGAGCTCAATTTTCTGACTCTTCAGACAAAAAGATTGCAGGATGGAACAGGGGGAGAGTTTATCAACATTTCGGCTTCTCTACATTTCCCCAGGGTAAAAGCCACGAAACTAGTTTCCACTCCTGCTGTTCTCCTTCCCTATATACTCTCCAGAACCTGTCTACTTTTTTTCACTTTTCAGTGACTTCAGGTCACCGTTTTGTTGTTGTGTTTTTCTGAGAGGGGACAGCTGTTACCTGCAGGAGAGTAGAGTTCAGTAGGAACTCCTTCAGTCATTGTAGAAGCAAAACTATTGCTTTCCCCTTTTTGTTTTTAGAGAATTTCTCTCACATTCCTGAAGGGGAATATACATTCTGAAGTATTGCCAAATTTTCAAGAAGTTGTGTTGGCTTTTTTCATATATATTTACTTATCCGTCTGCTCTGTTTTACCTGTAGGATAGACTGTCAATGGATGAAAGCCATCTATTTTTATCTCTCAAAATACTGGGCAACAGTATCATAAAAGAAGCAACGCTTCTCATTTAAAGACAGAGCGAGCTTGACCACAGCAATTTCCTTTAATATTTTGCTTTCTCTACTGAAGCTAGAGATATCAAGGACTGGAATTGGGGGTGATGGGGTCATCTCATAGGCCATAGACCCAGGCCAGGGAAGGTTGAATGTATTAACCTCTACCTTAGACTAATTGCAGTTTTCTCTGAGAGGTGCTACTTCAGGGTGAGTCAACTGATGGAATGGAAGAAATGAGAGGATGGAGCAGAGCTTGTTAAATTTTTTATGATACATTTATCTATTATGTATAAATTGAGTAATTAAACATAAACAAAAAAAGATAAGGAAATGTGATACATGGTACATCGTTTGGAATACTGGGACAGTTCCAGTGTCTTATTCCTCCTTGAGCTTATATTGAACTACTCACTGCTCTAACCCCAACATTTGTAGATTTTCTGGTTTAATAATTGATTTGTTGTGTCTCTCATGGCTGGGTTCTTAAACTCTTGGGGAATTAGCTGAATTCTGCTTTTAAATAATTTTATTTGTTTACATTTCTTGGTTTTCCCAGGACAACCCAGAACCTGTTGTTTTAAGCTTCTTCAACCCTTCACTCGTAATATTGATATGGATGATGAATTTGGAAGAATATATAATCTCCAATTTGTATTAGTAGAATTTTGAGCAATTTTGACTCTGTTTATGTTGAAGTCCTACTAACTGTATACCCTGTGTTCATTCTAATAACCAACATTAATTTGTGACGATCTCTGTCCCTTCCATAAACACTATGCCATGATACTACATAGACATGATTACAATAGTATAGAAATATATCATTCAAGTTTTCTCAGATTTTGTGTTATTTAAAAGTATTTAGTACATGATTTAGATATAGTTCCCAATTGACTCCATGAAAATGCACTCAGTCTTACCAATTTGATTTTCAGTCTCAAATGTCAGCTGGTTTTATTATCTTTTCTTCATAATCACAAATATTTTATGATCTATCTTTTACTTATGATAATTTTATTCAGGTGAATCAGTTACTAAAGTACCTTAAGCCTCAAAATTTTGACAATCTAGAAATTGAAAGTCAAAAAATGTTTCCTTGTTTTGTGGAAAAACTTAAAGAAATGGATAAGCTGCCTGCAATATTTTTTTCGTAAGTAACATTAACTTAGCATTATAATTAATACTGTATGAATTTGAAGACTTTTGAAAGAATAATTGAGGAAGAATACATATAATCTCTGATTCATATTAGAGTTTTAAGGAAGTTTAACTCTATTTATGTTGAAGTCATACTTACAATACCAGGGAAGGTATAAGATGAGAGGAAGGAACACTCGTCCTAATAAATTATACTTCAAAATATAATTGTATGGTTTAGTATAGCAGAATTCTCTGGCCTATCACTTATTAGAAAAGTCTGATACATCATCAAAGTAAAGTAGAGAGAAAAGGGTAAAATATAGTGTGCATTTGCCAAAAGAAAGCCTGTACACTAATACATACAGGCTTACCATATACACATATGACCTCATACTAAATATTTGCTCTGTACTTGTTTGCAAAAGTGATTATATTTAATCTCCTTACTAAAAAGGAAAGTTCTTCAGTCTGCTGGTTTCCTGTTTCTATTTTTCCTTTCAGAGCAATATAAGAAAAGTTTAGAAGGGGCTTAGTAGTAGCATCATATAATGACAATAATGTTTTAAGTATAAAATAATCGTTTCTTTTGGAAAATATTTATTAGATCTATATGGATGAAATGAGCTCACATTCAGTCATTTCACTTCACTCCTTGGTGCTGGACCAGGACTCAAGGACACAGAAACAATTTGTGACATGACTGTCCTTGAGGAATTGACATTGTTGGAAGAGTGATTATATATGCCTTTGAAACAGATTCAATAGTTTAGCCAGTCAGTATATAAAGTTACTTAACATTTTAGTATTCAAGGCATTCTGTAGACATTAATAGTGAGTATGAGGAGATATTTGTCACCTCTGGAAACATAAGAGAGTAAAACATTAAATTATTAACTGTAAAACATAGTCTGTCCCTCAAGGGTATAACATAATATACATTTTCAATAAATGTGTAATAGATACATTAAGTACTTTAGAATTTAATGGGAAGAGAAAACAATGGCCTAGGGTTAAAGACACTTTTACCGAGGGGCTGAGTCTCAGTGTAGATACCCTAGACAAGGATATATCTATATACATTATCTATCTATCTATCTATCTATCTATCTATCTATCTATCTATATCTGAATGATACATAAGAGATGTATATAAGATATATATGAGATATACATGATTGCTATGAACATGAAATTATTAAAAATTCTCATATTTTTAATTTAGATACAACATTCATTCAGTGGAAATATTGGCTTCACGACTTCTTACGAATCTGATAAGTAAACAAATTACTCACAATGATCCAAATTCTGAAAGAAAGAAGAAAAATTTGACCAAGAAACTGAGGAAAGCAAGAAGTTCTCAAAAAAGAAACATTTCTACGTGAGTATTTTTACTTTAGTTGTAGAATTTTAAATGTTTAATGAAATGTATGAGCGTTCAGCTGTTTTTATAATTCAAATTTGTTTTTATAATGTGATGATGTGATTTTTTTTCTCTTTGTATGACACATCAAGTTAATTATACTTCACTTTTGGCAAGGCAGGGGGAACATCCAGGAGAGAATTTTTGAGCATTTTAATAATTATACAAAAGTTTATAATAATTTTCTTCATTGTATTAGTGTCTTTCCTTTTTATTAGAAGTACAAATTATAGATTTGGTTTTTAGAAATTACAAGTTTGCAAATTTGCTTAAAATAGATTGTATAATGTTTATACTCACTTGTAAAAGCCATTAAAATATCAAACAGCTAGTTGGAGCAAGTGCACTGACACATTTGTCTTTTAATATAACACCAGAAACATGATTTTAATATTTTTATGACTTTATTGTCTTAAAGCATACAAAATGTAAAGAAATGCCTCTATTTTTGTTTCATTCTAATGTATAAATTAACCTGGGAAACATGATATGTGAATTTTGTTATATAATTTTGTTGGATAATAGTTATACAAGTCTCACCCTCACTCAGGAATTTTTCCTAGCATTTGACCTTATCTACTCTTGAGATAAATAATAACCGTAATTTTTTCTCTTCTGTTTCAGTTATATTTCTGAGGCAGGGGTGGTCATATAGAATAGTTTTGAGTCTTAAAAGAGTGAAACTGCATGTAGGACAGCTGATACAGGCCTGTTCTAATGGCCGAGCAGGCTAGTCATCCTTTCTCTATATGTCATTGCACCCAAGTAATGACTTATTGAGAAATATCCCAACATATGTCAAGGCTAATTTTGTCACTTACAGAAAAATCAATTACAACGTATGTTAAAAAGATGAGAGTCTGGCTGATAAAATTTTTTTATACTTTTTTAACTGTAAAGAATTTGAGTTTGTATGTAATTATTAGGAAAATTGAATTTTTCCATTAAATTTAATGTCAAAAATATAATTCCACTGGATATAGAAAATAAAGATTTTATTGGACGTAAGATAGGAGAAATGCAGAAAATTCTGATATTTTTTGTTAAATACATGTAAATGCATATATTTAAATATACTTAAATAGTAAGCTGATAAACAATTGAGGCAATTAAGGTCTGAGGAATATTCTTTAATAGGGGCATTGTGTTTTGGGTTTGAAGTATCTGGCATTCTTTTTACCTGGCATTTATATACATTACCTCCAACTTAAAAAAATAGAAGAACATGCTGTAATCAACATATTTACTGATTTTCCTAATATTTTATATTCAGTTTTTTAAATTCAGATTCAGGCGCTAGAATTCAAAGAATCATTTTATTGGCAGCTGAAATAAAAGAAATTAAAAAAAACCTTAAGAAGTATAATGAATTTTCTCCAGACTGTACTTATACTGATTCTACAGTTGTAGATAATCAGGTAAGAGAAAATAAACAGGGATACATTCAGGTGTGTATATCTGCTGTAACAAAGTACCACAGAATGAGCGGCTTAAGCAACAGAAATTTATTTTCTCCCAGTTCTGGAGAGTAGAAGTCTGAGATAAAGGTGTTGTCAGGGTGGGTTTCTTCTGAGGGCTGTGAGAGAAAAATCTGTTCCAGGTCTTTTTTCTTGGCCTGTGGAGGGCCATCTTCCTTTTCGTATCTTCATATTGTCTTCCCTTGGTATGTCTGTGTCCAATTTTCCTCTTCTTATAAGGATACTAGTCATATTGGATTAGGGTCTACCCTAATGACCTCATTTTAACTGAATTACTTTGTAAAGACCATATTTCCAAATATAGTCACACCTTGAGGTACTGGGGGTTAGGATTTTGACATAAGAATTTTTGGAGGTACACAATTTGGCACATAAAAGTGTGTGTAATGTCAGTACTGTAATATAGAAGTTATAAAATAAACAATGCACTTCATGTAAATTAATCTTGAAACAATAGATGAAAGACTAAAGTTAGAGGTTGGAGAAATTAAGATTTGTGTGATTTTATATAGCTATTGAAAACAGCTTCAAGACTTATGTCAAGGTATATAACACATACCTCTATGAAATTGCCTATTAACTGAAGTTAATTATAGCTATTTCTTTATATAAACAGAAATATATAAATTAAATATAAAATCTTTTTCTGAGCTACAGGCTTAAGCAACGACTTGCTAAAAGAAGCTCAAATTCATATTTGCCTTCGGAAATTCTTCCTCCTCTGTTCTTTACCTACTTTGTACATAGTTCTTCAGACTAGAAACTGTGGTGTTATGATTGTCTTATACTTCTCCCTTATGCCACTCTCATTCAAAAACTTAATTCTAGAACATGGACAGACACCCTAAACAAAGGGTGCTTATTAAATGTTGTTGGTTGACCTAACCATTCAGTAGTAGTCAGAGAACTGTGGTTATTACTTGTTTATGCTTTTTTCTTTCTTTAAGTTATGGGAGAGGGGGAGAAAGAGAGGCAGAATGAGAGAGAGAAAAGAGAGAAAGAGAAGAGAGAAAGAAACAATAATAATAACTGACAGAGATAGACAAAGAAATGTATAGAAACAGACACAGGAAGTTTCAAAGAGAGAAAAAGGAGACAAGGGGAGTGGAAGGATTGGGGAGAGGGAGAGAGAGAAAGAACGAGAGGGGAGAGAGAGAGAGAGAGAGAGAATAAGAGAGAGAATAAGAGAGAGAAAATGAGAGAGAATGGAAAGTGACAGACACAAAGATAACACAGAAAAGATAAACAGGAAGATACAGAGAAAGAGAGTGAGAGAGAAATCAACCAACACTGGTCAGATATGACTGGAGGTGATAATGAAAAAAAAAAACAAACTAAGTTAGATTTAGATAACAGCAAACATAGAACAAAATGGAGGTGGCAGGAAATCAGACTAAGCTCAGAATTTAGGCAGAGATGGTCTTTGGTACCAGCCTCAGAGAACTCTGGTCCCTCATCCCTCTCTTGTCCTTTCCCTTCAGTGTTTCCTCACTGCCCCAGGCTGAGCTGGAACCTTAGTTCAGTCCATTAGAGCTATAACCAGTGATTAAATACTTTGGGAGCAAGGCTAGGCCTCAACCACTCAGTGGGTATGGGGAAGAAAATGAAGTGTATGTTCCTGATGAAGAAATGAATGAACAAAGGTTCATCACATGTAAGATTCAGTTGCATTTGCCAGGATCAGATATCAAGCTTCAAGTGTCAGGTATGATGAAAATATTCTACTTAAATACCACATATTAGGCATTTTATAGTTTAAATAGGCTATGGGTTCTGACCTAAAACAGAACTACTCTTTGTAGAATTTTGTCCAACTCTGCGTTGATTTCTAAATAATCTTTTAACATATAACATCACTGTTAAGTTGAAGGATAAATGCTTTAATTTGATACGGCAAACTGTTTGGGTATTTCAGACTTTAGCAAAGATCTTACGCAGATTGAAAGGAACAAGACAAGGCTACAAACTGCACAGTCTGTTAAAACGGGGCATTGGATATCATCACGGTTCAATGGAATATAAACAAAGACAAGTTGTAGAGATGCTTTTCAGACAGAAGCATGTCAAGGTTGGTGAACTTTGAGGATAATTTTCCTAAAAGTAGCGCCTTCATTCCTTTGGACTAAGTAGGAGGAAGAAATGTACCCTGACTGCTTGTAGGGAAGTCATTCTATCTACTCCCTCATAATCTCACTACTTGGAGGGATAGTCTGCTAACCTTTTAGCATTTTATATTCTGTTCTTTTAAATATGTTTTTACATAGTTAATATATAATGCACTTGCAATTTAGGATCATATCTACTCTGCCTAATAGCATGTAATTAAGTCTGTATTAATTAACATTACATAATAAACATTTTATGAATTCATCATAACATATGCATATATAGTTTATTTAAACATTATGTTAATGTTGAAATTTTTTGTTTATGAACATATACTGTCGTTTCTGATTATTGATGGGATCAATTGATTCTACAAAGTATTTCAAAGAGCAAAAGTAATTTTCAGGCTCTAGAAATATATTGCTAAATTTTTTCAGAAGGACTCTATTTGTCTACTTTACCTTGATAAATTTTGATTATTGTGATTAGAAGCTGGAGTTGTGAATATAGTGCAGAGAGTATCCTATATACCATGCACCCAAATTGCCATATGATTTAACATCTTATGTTAGTATGATATGTTTGTTATAATTAGCAAACATAATATTGATAAATTTTTATTAACTAAAGTCCGTTTTTTTATTCGGATTTCCTTAGTTATTCCTCTAATGTCCCTTTTCTGTTCCAAGGATACAACATTACATTTTTGTTGTTCTCAGATCTCTTTAGGCTCTCTTGGCTGTGACAGTTTCTCAGATTTGCCATGATTTTGAAGATCTTAATAAGAGGATAATTTGTAGAATATCACTCAATTGAGATTTCTCTGATGTTGTTCTCATGATTAAATGGGCACTTTGTGTTTCTTGAAGGAGGACCACAGAGATAACATGTTATTCTCATCATATATCAGAATTATAGACTATGGCTATGGCATCGCTATTGATGTTAACTTGAGCACCCTGCTGAGATCATATTTGTTAGACTACTCCACTATAAATTTACCTATTATTCCCATTTTCCCTACTGTCCTCCTTAGAAAGAAGTCACTATGTACAGCCCACACTTAAGTAGTAGCTAGTTGAGTCATACTTTACCTCCTTATAGTTGAAGTAGCTAAATAAATTATTTAGAATTCTATATAGGAACTGTGCCTCTACTACCTCATTTATTTATGTATTTAACACTTATTTCATATCAGTATGAACACATGGATATTATTTTATGCTTTGGATTTTAATTCAATGCTACTTATTTTCTTGGTTGCATGGTTCCAGTTTTGGCCGTTGGAAGCTCTTTCACTTGCTTCCTGTATCCATTTGGCATGCTCCCATCATTGTGAGTGTTGTTTCTGTTATTCAGCATTTCCTTACTTTCTGCCAAAGTAAGACGCTCTCTTATCTTGTATAATTCTTGCCCCAGTCTTTGAATGAGTCATATCTCCAGAGTCCCAATTTCTTTTAGACAAGCCTGAGAAACTATTACAACCAAGAAAAGCCAAAGGGGACATGTCTACCAAATGCAATGTGATATTCTAGGTGGATCCAAAAAAGGATATCGGGTAAAAACTAAGGAAATCTGGAAAAAGTATGAATGTTAGTTAATAATAATGTATCAATGTTTTTTAATTAATTGTAAAAAATGTATGGTACAAATTTAAGATGTTAATAACAGGGGAAACCGAGTGCAGAATATAAGAACTCTACTATCTTTGCAAATTACTATAAATATAAAAGGGTTATAAAAATAGAGTTTGTTTAGAAATATTTTCTGTGCATGCATTAAAATATGTGTTCTGTAGATACTGGCTTAGTGTTCTGTGAGGCTTCTTAATTTAAATCTGTGTTATTGGTAAATTTTTTTTTTTATCTTCTATCAGTAATTGAGAGTAGAATTATTGAGAATAGAAAGTGTTAAAATCTCTCATTCTTAATTTAAAAATTTCTGTTTCTCTTTGTAGTTATGCCAGTTTTTACTTTATATATTTTACTATATACTAATTGTTTAGTAAGCAAACAATGTTAACAATAAAGCACATTAAAAACATTCTGAGAAAATAGATTACTATAACAGATCGACATCTGACTTCCCAAAAGCAAAAATGGAAGCCAGAGATAAGTGAAATTTTACCTTTAAAAACCTAAAGAAAATAACTTTCCACTTAGATTATTATCTTTCCAGAATGAACGCACAGTGGAGAATTTTAGACAAATAAAAACTAAAAGTATTCGGTATCTCACCTCATCACTTAAAAGAAAATTCTAAATTAGGCAGAAAGAGAGTAATTCAAGAAAATAAAAGATGTCCAAAATACATAAAAGAGTGACCCTAGAAAATGGCAAATATGGGTAGCTTAAATCTTTTATTATCTGAATAAAAATAACACATAGGAATAAAAAAGGAAAAATATGTTTACGATAGTATATATTTTAGAAGTAGAGGTTGTTTGAGGTAATAACTAAATGGAAGATAAAATTATTCATCAATTTGGGGCTTTTATAGGTATAGATTATAAATTTGTTAGTGCCCACTGAAAGAACAGAATATGAACGTGCAACATCCAAGCTATGGTGAAAAAATGAAAAGCACGTAAAATATTTGAATGTATCAGAAAGTAACCAAGAAAGCAGATGAAAAGATTTAAAACAGTCACTAATAGAAAGCACAAGTATAACTGTATAGAAAGTATAAAATGACATCCAGATCATCAAATATAACAATTACATTAAATAAACTGGATGCATTTGAACTTAATGACTCTAATTAAGAGAAACATTTTTAAAGTTTTTTAAAAAACATTTTTGAACTTAATTAACAAAATATCCAAGAAGTTTTTAATGATATGGGACACATTTAAAATGTAAAAAGAGCTAAAGGATTGAAAGGGAAAGAAATGTTAATAATAACCGAAAGAAAGCTGGTCTGGCTATGTTTCAATCAAACAAAGTATGTTTCAAGATAAAATCATTAGTAGAGGTACAGATGGTCCCACCATTAGGCAGGTATACTAATTTAAAATTTTTACATAATTACTAGGTCAAAACATATAAAAAAGACATCATAATGGACATAAAAATTTATGGAGTTGTTAGGTAAGTAAAATACTATATAGCTAAACCTATGTGGTGGAGTTAAACTAGAACTTGGAGAAAAATGTAAAAGCGTTTATTGTGTCTATTTTAAGAGATAAAAGATTAGAGAGAAACATGAAAGGGTATGAGCAACTTCAAGTGATTTTTTGGAAAAGATAGAGATAGGACAAATTATGGCTGATAGCCTCTGTTTTTTTCTAAGAAATATGAATCAAAATAGCATTTTAAAATTGAGGTAGGAAAGCAAAGTCCCAGGAAATCTGCTTTATTTATATATCTTATCTCAATTGAGAATACTATTTCCTACTCAATAACACCATCTTCTCCAGAATAATCTAAGAGCCCCTGTCAGATCATTCAGCTTCCATTCATCACCTCCTAAAATTAGTTGGAAGACCAACTAAAGCAATTTTATAGATATTAATTATATCATGTTACTCCCCTTTCTCTTAAAATCTAAACTAGTTAGAGTGGTTTTTTAATGCTTAATGTGACCTGGTTCCTGCTCTCCCTCTGCGTTTATTCTCTACTGTTTTCCTTTCTTAGAAATGTTTTCATGTAAAAATAATACTCCTTTTACAATCTATTGTTTTTATTTATTTAAAAAAAAAGATTAAAAGCTTACTGAATGGCTGTGATTTCATATCAGTTCACAATCTGAAAATGCTATATAATTGTAATATTAAGGAAAACATTAAGGTGAATAGAAATCTCTACGAAAGTTATTTACTTCAAAAAATGTAGTAGAGTTTGTATTTTTGCTGACATTGGCTTTCAATTGGAGTTTTACTCAAGAAAAATGATTTCAAGGGGTCTAATCTAGTCAATATTTAGAGACTATGCACACATTTATATAGTCTATGTTAAATTTGTTTTTTATTTTATTTTATTTTTTACCCTTCACCCATAGGTGGTAATAGCTACCTCCTCCCTTGCTTTGGGAATTAATATGCCATGTAAATCTGTTGTTTTTATAGAAGATTCTGTTTTTCTGAATGCCTTGAACTTTCGACAGGTATTTATACTACTGCCTTGTATTACATTTATATTCATAGGGACTGGAAACATCTATTTTAAAATGGGTTCTAGATGCAGGAGATTGTATGAATATGATTACGTTTTAAGATGTTTTGAGCACTTATTAACTGGCTAAATAGATTAGATTTCTTGAGACTATTCCTGCTTTGGTAAATATTATTGAACTGAAAGATAATGTGAAGAAACAGTAATCGTATCTTCTGAGCACTCAAAGGTGCCAAGTATCTACGATTATAATTTGAGTGTCTACAATGTTTTCTGTTCAGACTAGTTTCTGAAAAGACATTGTAAGATAAGACAAGAATTGTCCTTACTTTAAAAATCATGATCTTAAAACAAGTATTACTGAAAAGCAAACACATTTTAATAATAGATCTGTAAAATAAAATAATATTTTAAATGTTGCTAAAATTAACATGCCAAGCAACAAATAACTCAGGATTTTTGAAAGTTTAGTGTTCCACACAGTGTAGGTAAGTTAGACATTAACCATTTACAGAGACAATATTTGAAATGATTTTAAACTGTTCTATGATTCTCTCTTTAGATGTCAGGTCGTGCAGGAAGACGTGGAGAAGATCTTATAGGGAATGTGTTTTTCTATGGTATTCCGTTACCTAAGATAGAAAGATTCTTGAAGTCAAACGTGCCCAAGCTGAAGGGTCAGTTTCCTCTAAGCATATCCTTGGTTCTCAGACTCATGCTGTTAATTGCCAAAGCAGATGACAAAGAGGATGCTAAAGCAAAGGTACGTTGTTTCATATTATTTAAATAACTTTAATAAATATAATCATTTAAGCTCAGTTTTATAATGTTGCATAAATGACATAAGCTGAAAGGAATAAAATAATAATGTACTGTAAATCAACCCACTGTAACATTTGATTCTCCTTTATAGCCCCCTTATTCAACACAAAAACATGCTTTTAACTTTCACGCTTTCAAACATATGCAAAATTAAGCCCATGATTTTCCTGTTTTAATTATCTCTGGTCTCTGTGTGTATTAGAAAAGAAACATATTTTTTCTGTAATTATATCTGGTCTAAAACATTTTAAAAATCAAATTTCAAAGAAGTAACTAATGGTTGAAAATATAAAAGATACTGAAACATAATTATTGGTTTTACATTTTTATACCTTATTTTGACTTCTTACCTGTCATGCATAAACTTGCAATTATTTATCTCTCTAAGTTTTTCTTACCATTTTCTATTATACACACACATGTCATATAAAACATTATGGAATATCTAAATATAATAAATAAATACAATAATTATAATAATATAATAAAGCAGTATTCAATGCCTAACTTAAAAATGTAAAAAACATATTATACATTATATGTTGCACGTAGATATATATGATCTACAATAGAAATGTTACTTGTCCTTTGGATATTACTTTTGGAAGACACATTACAAAATTTGCTTAATATCTAACTTGATATTTTGATATATGTATGTATAGGCATTATCTGTTCTCCAACATTCATTGATGTCCTTCAAGCAACCAAAGATCAAGTGCATGTTAAAGTTTTACTTTATATATTCTTTGCAATTTTTGGCCACAGAGGTAAGATTTAAACGTATTTCCACTAAATTAAAGTTTTAGTACATCTATTTAAATCCACTGTACTAAAAATTTCTTTATTAACAACTTATTTGTTTGATATTTCTGAGATCTAGAGACTGAGGTTAACATGTTAAAATTGATTTATAGGGGTACCTGAATTCAGAGTGTATTCCCACTGGGTATTCTGGACTTGTGTCCCATTTGCACTACCATGAACCTGCCAACTTTGTTTTAGTAAGCTTGCTGGAGAAATGTTTATTTCACAAGTTGTGTATTCCAATCAACATAGATGGTAAGCAAATATTCCTTTCTGAAACACTCTTTACATTGTGTGCACAAACGCACACAATTTATCCACATATTCCCCAGAACTGCATTCCTTTTGGGTAGTATGACATTTTCTAACTGCTTTTTTCTCTTAATTGATTTTGAACATTTTTCTTATTTTATATCATTAAATATGTTTATAAAAATATTATTAATATAGACATGGTATATTTGTGATATGTTTCAAATGACCATTTAATGTACTTTAAATTTTAAAAACTAAACCATTAGAATAATAAATACAATTCTTCTGAAATCACGAGGCATTTTTAATATATATCAATTGAAATAAATTGCAATAATATATATATAGAATTGCTAATTTGTCCTTTTTACATCCGGTCATTGGTATGAAAAATAGGCCTCTGATATACTCATATCTAAGTCCTAATTATTAGCTATATCACAGTAAAATATGAAGGTAAAGTTCTAAGTCAAATACAAACTGTAAGAATATGATAGCATCACAGTGTTACCTGTGACGATTTTATTTTTTTAAATAATAAATTATATTTTCCTTTTCCATAACTTTATCACATTGAAATTTAATTTGCTAGAGAAAGAAAGAAAGTGATATGATCCAAACTCAAAGACAGCTGGAAACTGAAATATATAATTAATACCCCATTGTTCATTTTATTTTCAGTAAATTATCAACTTTTGTTAAAATGACATAAAATAATGAAAATAATATTGTGTACCTTAGAACTACTAATACATCAAATCATAAAGCCTTTAATCCATATTAATCTATATTTTTTTACAAAAGAATTATAGAAAGCAATCATCACTGAATTTTAGTTATTTTATAAATATTGTGAGTAATGTATCACAATGTTAAAAGAATAAAAAAACTAAAATGAATTTGTCATAATGCTGTCGGTAGAAAGACATCAAATTGAGGTTTTCTGTTTGTTTATTTGAAGTCAGGAGCTTCACTCTCAGGGCTCCGCATTTCTCTGATAGTGCGAGGCCATGTAGCTTCACACTATTAAAGTTTCCAAGTTCTCACGTGAATGTGTGTTGTTTACTCATTCTTTTACTGATCGGTCATTAAGTGGCTATCAGTGTGGACATGGCATTCTGTTAAATGCTGTAGCTGATTAAAAATCAGGGATCAGACACAGGTTTTCCCTTGAGATTTAGTCCCTAACATACTACAAGGATTTGGGCACATGGAAATGTAGGAAATACATATTCCAGGAGAGAACTATCAGGAGTCAACACATGGGTAGTAGTTAGACTATAATGTTTGCTTAAGAGTGAGTGGGTGCGGGTTAACCTTTGGCTTCAGGAATTTGGAAAGCAGCATAAGGCCTTCGTTCCTTAGTAGATTTTGAGGAGAGGTGGGAAACACTGAGTGGAACCAGGCAGCGAAGGGAAGGTTTGAGGACCATGATAAAATCCAGGGCGATTCCAGAACTAAAGGGCAAACAGTTGTTCTTGTTTTTTGTTTTTTCTTTTGGTTCCTGCAGCTAAGCATGGACCCAAGGGTACCAACAATCTGTGTCAGTATGGGGGTCAATTAGTTGGCATTATTATAAACTTATATTGAATTTATTAAAAATTCACCAAATGTCTGGAAAGTGAATTTTTCAATGTGTCTTACCTTGAAATTTTAAGTTTAAGTTTTAGGAAATGGCTCACTGTACTTCTAAAATGATGAATTTTGTTCTCTAAAGTTTTGAAAAATTAAGCTCTTTATTTTAAACAGGGCAAAAGACATTTTCTCAAGATGTGATGGAAACCTTAGTGGTGGTGTTAGCAAATCTTTTTGGAAGACGGTATCTTCCTCCCTGTGTGAAAAACTTGAAAAAGAAATTTGCTCATTCAGTGGTAAGAGAAAAATATATACTACAATCTTGTAATCTTATGTAAACTCTTTCCATTATAATATGCAATGCAATTGATTTTTCCAATAACTAAATTGTGCTGTCATTAACTAGTTATTTCTTTATCATGCCTCAGTCAGTTCTTGGTATATATAGTAACTTCTCCAGGAAAAGACTGAAGTCTTATTTAAAAATGGAGAACTTTATTTCTAGTAGAAGTTTTTAGCAAGAGAATAACAGGATTTTTTTATTACATTGAAGATGACCTCGAACATTACAATTAATGGTGAAATAATAGCCACAGTAACATTTATATTTGAAACAAGAAGATATAAATATTCAGTTTAACAGCCATTTGAAAATATTGTTCTAAAAATTCTACTCGTTGCCAAATGGCAAGAAATAAAAATATGATATAACTATGGGGAAGGTAAGCACAGTGAGCGTAAGTACGTAGAATAATTTGAAGCCTGATTCCTGGACTCCTTTCCAGCTCTGCCACTTAGCACATAGGTGACCTATGTGCTAAAGCAAATTTCTTTATCCAGGCTTATTTATTTACTTATCTGTAGATTGCGAATCATAATAGTACTGCTATGAGGATTAAATTAATTAATACATACAAAGTGCTTAGAACAGTGCTTAGGACATAGAAAACACTCAATAAGTGTTAACTCTTATTTTAATAGTTATTGTTATTTACAGATGAAATCACTACTTACTGAAAAAGAATCAACAGAAAAATGATTGCAATTAATGACAGTTTAGTAAGTCTTCAAATGTAAAGTAGATCTAATGCTTTTTTATATACTAAAAGTACAGCTTTCCCATATAATAAAGTTACAAAGAAAATGAAATGTAATATAATCCCACCAATAATAAAAAGGAAATTAACCGGATACTATAGTTTACTTGTTAATATGGCAAAGATTGCAGTTAACAGTTATGTTGACAGGACCGTAAATAGATATATCATTTAAAAGTATTCCTTAATGTGATATTTTTATTTTTTTCAATTTATACTAATGATATAATCAAAAATACAAATAAAAATTATGTAAAAATATTATTTTATTAGTTTTCTTTAGGCTGCTGTAACGAAGTAACACGAACTGGGTGGCTTAAACAACGCAAATATGCTATTTCTCAGTTCCGGAGGCCAAAAGCCCAGACAGAGTTAGTTCTCTCTGAAGACTCAGGGAAAATCTGTTCCCTGTCCCTCTCCTAGCTTCTGGTAGTTTCCTGGTAATCTTTGGCATTCTTTGGCTTGTAGATACATCACCTTGATTTCTATCCTTATGTTCATAAGGCATTTTCCCCGTGTGCATGTCTCTGTGTCCAAATTTTCCCTTTTTATAAGGACACTAGTCATATTGGATTAGGGGCCCGTCCTACTCTAGTATGACCTCATCATAACTAACTACATCTGCAATGACCTATTTCCTAATAAGGCTACATTCTGAAGCACTGAAGCTTAAGATTTCAACATATGGTTTTTTGAGGGACACAATTCAAACCATAACATATTTTAATTATTTGTAACTGAGAACTGGATGCCACCTATATACCCAACAAAAAGGGAATGGTTAGATGAATTTTAGCATAGCTATATGTGGCAATATTATAAAGCCACTAAAATTCATATTTTCAGATAATATTCTATGACATGGTAAAATACTCCAGATATAATGTTGAGTATAAACATTAGACAAAAGCTGAATACTACAACAAAATTTGTATATAATAGACTGGAAGAAAATTGTATATACCAAAATCTTTATAACCTATATTCCTGGGTAGTAGAAAAAGAAGTAATTTTAGTTTTTGTACTTATACTTTTACAAATAATAGAATTTATATTTAGAAATATATTTTCATCCAGACTTTTAAAAGTATTGTGACCTCGTGTCTCAGAGACTTTGGTAAGCCTCTGCTTTTTGTTTTTATTTTTGAATAGTTACATTAATCTATTTCTTTATTCCTAGAAAATTCTAGATGCTCTTCCCAAGGAATTTGCTACAGTGGTAGAAGAACACAATAACAGAATTAGAGAGAATTTTGGTTCCTTTCTCCTATCAATTTCTAATTTGGCTGACATGAGAAAAGAGTACCAATTACCTCTCTCAGAAATTGGTAAGACTGTGAATGTCCACAAACAAAATGTAAAGCCAGTAAAAGAAATTAAGTGTAAATATTTTGAGATAAAACTAAACTTTGCAAAATAAAAACAAAATTACTGCAAAAAGCACACAGGAAACTAATGTAATCCTTTAGATCTATGCTGTGGACATGTTCTTTGGAATTGTCTAAGCCATCATGGATTGGATTTGGCACTAAATGCTTAAAATACTTCTGTATGGTCTATACGGTGGTCTAAATTTATTCTAAAATATCTCCTTGCCTACTGATACGATTTGTCTTTTAGTAGATATTGATGCTCTTAACTGGTTAAATTTTCAAATCTGAATAACTTTAGAAATACAAGAAAAGGAATATTGGCATATTTAGAAGTGGTCGTCAGTATGCTGTACTTTTTTGAGTACTTTGGGGGATATTAACGAAGTTAAGGCTTTGCCCAGGACTTTAAGGAAAGGACAGAATAACTGAAAAAGAAAATAAAAATATAAGGAAAATTCAGTAATGTATGCCAGATAAAGTATAAGGATTGGAAGTAGAGAGTACACTCAGTGCCCTAAGTTAAAAAGGTAGGAGAGAGAGCTAAAAGGTGGTGGAATTCCGTTTTCCTCACTTCCAGAAGAAGCAAGGAGAAAAAGGGAGCAGTAGGGCTGATTTGGTTTGTTCATATTTCTGGATAGATTATTATATTAGGATGTGTTATGATAGGATTATTATTATATTATATTATTATATTATATTACAGAAGACTTATAAAAGACAAAGAGCAAATGGTCAGTTTATTCAACCATAGAAGGAGAAATTAGCTCGTAATAAGTCAACTTTGTGGAAAAGAACCGAAGTGTCTCCGGGCAAGTTTCTACAGTTGGGTTTGGAGGGGTGAAAATAATTATCTTTCTTCTGTATTTTTCTCTGAGGTGGTTTCTGTGGTAGACAGATTTACAGTGTCCCACCAAAGATGTCTGGGCTCTAAGCCTGGGAAGCTGTGAATATGTTATGTAGCAAAGGGAGAACTAAGATTGTAGATTGAATTAAATTTTGAATCAGTGGGCCTTGAGATAGAGAGATTATCCTGGATTATCTGTGTGGACCTATATAATCATAAGGGCTGCTATACGTGAAAAAGGGAGACAGGAGAATCAGATGTAATATGAGAAAGATTTGACTAATCATTGCTGGCTTTGAAGATGAAAGGAAGCCACCTGCCCAAGCCTGTGTGGCAGTCTCTGGAAGCTGGAAAAGGCAAGGAAATATATTCTCCTTCAGAGCCTCTCAGAAAGAGCAAACACAGCTCTAACTACCCCTTGGTTTTACCTTAGTGATAAGTCATTTCAGACTTCTGATTTCCCGAACTGTAAGATAACAAATTCAGGTTGTATTAAACCACAGAGTTTTGTGTTAAATCACAAAATTTTAACTGTTAAAAACTGTAGGGTTACTTATTAATAAATCCAAGTCATACATTTAATGTTGGAGGCTTAAGGGTAAGACATTAAACTGTTGTAGTTCTCTCCTAAACTTGGGGTCAACTGAACAATTAATATGGGAGTAATATGGATGAGGCAGAATTAGAAAACATGGTTTCCACTTTCAGTTAAATGTGTTTCATAAAGCATAGCCCTGAGTGAAGCTGTACTTGCCTGTTCCCCAAATGAAACACTAATGCCCCTGTCTTGTCAATTCTATCCTCCAGTTTACCACACATAATAGAGAAAATACTAGAATATACATTCTTAGAAATCAGGTGGATCTGAAATAGAGATTGAAAGACAAATAGAAAAGAACAGAAGGACTGACAGAGGCAGACACAAAGTATGTGTAAGAAAGACAGAGAGACAGAGGGTCGGGGAGAGAGAGACAGAGAGAGAGAGAGAGAGAGAGACAATCAGAGAGAGAGAGAAGTAGAGAAAGAGGCAAGAGAGAAAGAGAGAAGTAGAGAAAGAGGCAAGAAGTAGAGAAAGAGATAGACATACAGAAAGAGAGAGATTCACAGAGACAGACAAAGAGAGTGAGACTGTAAAAGAGAGACAACAATATAGAGAATGTGGAGGGTAGAAAAGAAAAATCATGACAAAGTGAGGCACAGAGAGCAGCAGAAGAGAGGCAATGAGCCATTCGGAGAAATAATGAGACACAAACAAGAGTATTATTGTCAGAGAAAGATGTCAAAGAAGAAGAAAGGAAGATAGCAGGAGGAATAGAAGAGATAGATTAGAATAGATAGATAGATAGATCGATCGATCGATAGATAGATAGATAGATAGATAGATAGATAGATAGATAGATAGATAGATGAAGACAGACAGACAGACATAGGTAGATTAGATAGATAAATAGATAACCATTAGAGAGGGACATGACCTTTTCTTAACTCACTACTCAGGCCCAGGGTGACATGAGTGAGCTCCACAAGACCTAGAAACATTCCTCTATTACTTTTGCATCCTGGTGAGTGATGTTGGAATATGAATGACAGAGTTAGCATAAGAAGATGAGCAATGATGTCAATTTTAACTATATTAAGAGAAGTTTTTCAGTTTTTGTAGCTCCATAACATCTTGAGAGAAATTAATTGATAATAACATTCATTTTAAAGGACAGGTAGATGGTGCTGGATTTTGCCCTAGGATGCTCAGATTCACTAGTGTTTAATGAAGCAAGGTTTCCTAATTTGTAAATAGTGTCTAATTTCTAAGTGGTTGGATATGGAGTTACACAGACCAATTCATAACTACAAATATAGAATCACTAGCAGATACTAGAATGATTTTAGTTTAGGCGGAAAGCCTTCTCAGTGATGATCCAGCAATATAATCCTTAAATTTTCATCTTAAATGTTTTCCTTTTTAAAAAATTTTTCAATGATTTGCCTATTAAGAATGATATAAACAAGTATCATTTGTTTTAAATAATTTGTTTAATAAGAAACCAGTTTTCAATTATTTTCTTTTTTTTATTACAGTACAACCTAATATTTTCCCCTGAATCATTTGAGACAGAGTAATCAATTATTTTCTTATTTGATTTTTCAATTGATTTATTGTTAGATTTTTCCAGTAAAGAATGTGAAGATTCTGAATTGGTCTCTCATTTGATGCCTGGGACTGAAAGTAGAACTGCTGTCTCCCCGTTTGCTTGCCTGTCAGATATAACCGATCAAGATTTATTTGATATGGATGTGGTAAATGATGTATGTAAATTTTGGTGTGAAACTTTCTTTAATCCTGTTTTTCATTTAAGATAAATAATTTTTATGTGATTCTAATACTAGCAAAATGTTCAGTGAAACAAAGCCATTTTTCTCTTACTCTAGAATGGCAGTACTTTTCTCTGAAATTATTATTATTATTATTATTATTATTTACTACTTCAGTAGTTTTAAAATAGAAAAATTGAATTAGATAAAAAAAAAGAACGTTACTTTCTCAATGACCTATCATATATCAATATGTCTTAACTGTATGAATCACTATGGCCTAAGCCCTTGCCATGCCAGGTGTGAACCTTAAACCAGCAGCATCAGTATCACTTACTAGATATGATAAATCTTGGGAGTCAGCTCAGAACTATTGAGATAAAAATGCATGTTAACATTGGAGAAGCCCTGCTATAAGCCACTTGAGGGCAATTAGTATTTGTCTTCATTTTTGTGATCTGACACCTAAAAATGGTGTTTGGGACAGAGTAGAAACTCGATAAATATATATCAAATTTTTAAAACTAATACAAGAGCCACTTTGTTTACTGCCCCACATAATTACTGCTGGTCCTACCTGGATCCTGATACCTTATCCATAGCATGCTGATTGGAAAATAACTTCCAATCACCTGTGATTATACCAATGGCCAAAATCAGATACGTATATCTCGAAAGAAAAAAAGAGATGCGCATAGAAAAAAAGAACAAGACATCATGTGTAGCTGATACCCGTATAGGTTTGTAAGCTTGCAAATATTTTTTCAGGAAAAATGAATTTAAAAAAATATTTGTAATATATTTCTGAGGTTGTAAAAGTGACTATATAACTTTGAATTTTGAGTTAGAGATATCACTTTCATGATTTTAAAAAGTTTTAATATTTTGAGTACTGATGTTTTTACTGATTTTATTTGGTTATTTATATCAAAGTTTGGAGAACCTTAATACACTGAACGTTTGACAATATTTTATTAAAATTTGTTGGGTTATTGTTTTAGTTAGCTAGATGTAATAAACCATAGTAATCAAATTTTATAATAGATTGAGGTATATCTCAAGAGAAAAATGCAAATAATCTAAAATCTCTGCATTTCTCAGGTTAAGCTACGAACAATTTATGTCAATGTTGAAAACGTTCCTTTCCTTTCCTTGGTAAAATGTAATAGAAATGGAAGGAAGTGTCCATTGAATGGTTATGCATTGAATTTCTACAAAACCGGTTCCCTGTCAGCACTCACTGTGGATAACGGGTAGGACCTTTTTCTATTTTAACACTCTTTACAGACATAAGTGCTTTTGGAATTAATGTTCATCATGCTGTGGCATTATAACTTATGAAGATAATTTTAAGATGCAATAATTTGAGTCATGAAGATATGATTTACTTGGAACTACTTTTAAAATGCTATTTATTATTATTATTGAGATGAAGTTCACATAACATAAGTTAACCATGTTAAAATGAACAATTCAGCGACTTTTGGTATATTCATAAGATTGCACATAAACCACCTCTATCTAGTTGCTAAACATTTTTATTAACCCAAGGACACAGTCTGTATCCATTAAGCAGTAAGTCCTGTTCCTCCCATCCCACAACTTCTGGCAGCTGCCAATCTGCTCTCCATCTTTATGGATTTACCTATTTTTTTGAGCGTTTGTGTCTGACTTCTTTCACTATAACATTTCAAGATTTTAGCATTATCAGTACTGTACTCCTTTTTATAGCTGAATAATATTCCATTGTATGTGTATATACAATTAGTTTATCTAGGTGATGAACATTTGGGTTGTTTCAGCTTTTGGTTATTGTGAATAGTGCTGCTATGAACATGAATGTACATGTATTTGTTTGAGTACTTGTTTTCAATTCTTTTGGGTAAATACTTGGGAGTAGAATTGCTGAGTCATATAGTAACCCTATATTTAACTTTTTGAAAAACTGCTGAATTATTTTCCACAGCAATTGAACCATTTTTCATTGCCACCAGCCATGTACAAGGTTTCTAATTTCTCCATAATCTCATTACATTTATTTTCATTAAAAAAATTATAACCATTCTAGTGGATGTGCGAAGTGATATATATCTCATTGTGATTTTGATTTGCATTTCCCTAAACACTAATGATGTTGAGCATCTTTTCATATTAGAAAAAGATGTATATATTCTTTGTATATATTCTTTGGATAAATGTCTATTCAAGTTCTTTGACCATTTAAAATTTTTTTTCTGCAGATAACCTACTACAATATTTTTTAATTTTATTTTATTAGTTTCAAGTATAAAGTACATTGGTTAGACATTTAATTTTTTAATTTTTCTTTTTGTTCTTGAGTGTAAAAGTTTTTTATACATTTTGAATACTAGATTCTTATCAGACATATGATTTGCAAATATTTTCTCCTTTTCTGTAAGTTGTCTTTTCATTTTCTTGATAATGTCCTTTGATACACAAAAGTTTTAAATTTTGATCAAGTCTAACCTGCCTATTTTTTCTTCTGTTGCTCATATTTTTGGTATCATATCTAAGACTCTATTCACAAATTCAAGGTCATGAAGATTTATCCCTATGTTTTTTCTAAGAATGTTAGAGTTTGGGCTGTTATATTCAGATTGTTAATCCATTTTTAATAAATTTTGGTATATGGTATGAGATAAGGTCCAGTTTCATTCATCTTCATGTGGATATACAGTTGTCCCAGCACCAATTTTTGAATTCTTACCCTATTAAATGGTCTTGGCACCTGGTCAAAAATCAGTTGGCCATAGATGTATAGGTTTGTTTCTAAACTCTCAATTCTACATTAGTCTTTATGTCTATCCTTATGCCAGTACCACATTGTTTTGATTACTATAACTTTTGAAATAGAGAATTGTGTCTTCTAATTTTGTTCTTCGTAGTCAGTATTGTTTGGTTATTCATGGTCCTTTGCAATTTCGTATGAATTTGAGGATGATTTTTTCCGCTTCTGCAAAAAAGAATGTGAAAATTTTGATAGGAATTGCAATGAATCTATGATCACTTTGGGCAAATTGTCTTCTTAACAACATTAAGTCTTTCAGTCCATGAACATAAAATGTCTTTTCATTTCTTAGGTCTTTTTAAATTACTTTCAGCAATGTTGTAGTTTTCTATGTAAGTCTTGAACCTATTTCATTGAATTTATTCCTAGGTATTTTATTTTTTGGATGCTATTGTAATTGGATTTTTTGCTTTAATATCCTTTTCAGAGAGAACTTACGTGTGTATAGAAATACAACTGATTTTTGATTTTGTACTCTACAACTTTCCTAAATTTGTTTATTAGGTCTAAGTTATTTTGTGGATTCTTCAGGATTTTCTATACATGAGATTATATCTGTGAATAGAGAGATTTTTACTTCTTTTCCAATTTGGATGGTTTTATTTTCCTTCTCACCTAATTGCCTTGGCTAGTACTTCCAGTAAAATGTTGGATATAGAAATGGTGAAAGCAGGTATCTTTGTTTTGTTCCTGATCTTATAGGAGAAAACTTTCAGTCTTTGATCATTTTGATGTTAGCTGATAGGCTGTGAGATTTTCTGTAAATGTCTGTTATCATGTTAAGGTAGTTCTCTTAGATTCCTAGTTTGCTGTTTCTTTTTGTTTTTGTTTTTGTTTTGTTTTTTTTAATCATGAAATAACTTTTTTTCAAATGCTTATTGTGTATTAACTGAGCTGATCATGTGGTTTTTTTTCCCCCTTCATTCTATAAATATGGCTCATGATGTTGATTGACTTTCTTGCATTGAATTTTTTTTCATTCCTGGCATAAATCCTACTAAGTCATAGTACATAATCTTTTAAATATGCTGTTGGATTCGGTTTGCTGGTATTTGGTTGAGGATTTTTGCCTCTATATTCATAATGAATATTGGTCTATATTTTTGTTTTGTATTTTTGAAATATGTTAGTCTGGTTTTGGTATCAGGGTAACATAGACCTCATAGAATGAGTTAGGGAGATTGGTGTTAATTCTTCTTTAAAAGTTTGGTAGAATTCACCAGTGAAGCCAGCTCATCTGGATTTTTCTTTGTTAGGACATTTTTGATAACTAATTCAATTTCTTTACTTCTTATAAATTTTATTAAATTTTCGATTTCTTTTGAGTCAGTTTTGGTAATTTGTATATTTCTAGGAATCTGTCCATTTAACATAGATTATCTAATTTTTTGGTGTGGAGTTGCCTGTTCATAGCACTCTTATATAAATCATTTTGTTTCTATAGCATACGTAGTAATGTTCTCGTGTTCATTTCTGGTTTTATTTATTTGCATCTTCTTTTTTTTTTTTCCTTTGTCAGTCTAGCTAAACCTTTGCCAATTCTGTTGAATTTTTCTAAGATCCAATCTGTTTTATTGATTCTCTTTATGGTTTTTCTATTCTCTATTTCATTTATCACCATACAGATCTTTTTTTTTTATTTCCTTTCTTCTGCTAGCTTAAGTTTTAGATCATTCTTTTTCCGGTTCCTTGATTTAAGATTTTTTATTTTTTCAACGTGGATATTAATTGGTATAAATTTCCTACTGAGCACTGCTTTCTCTACATCCCATAAGTTTTGGTATGTTATGCATTTACTATCATTTGTTTCTAAGTATTTTCTAATTTTCCTATGATTTCTTCTTTGACCTATTGTTCGTTTGCTATTTAATTTCTATATATTTGTCAATTTTTAAAGTTTTCTTCTGTTAATGATTTATAGTTTCACTTCATTGCGGTTTGAAAAGATACTTCATATGATTTTAGTATTTTAAAGTACATTGAAACTTGTTTTGCAGCCTAACATATCATTTCTTTTGCATATGAGAAAAATATATATTCTATTGTTGGATGTAGTCACCTCAATATGTTTGTTAGGTCTAATTGGTTATCATATTGTTTAAGTCAATTTTTTTCTTATTGAGCTTCTCTCTAGATGTCCTATCCATTATCGAAAGTGGGGTATTAAAGTCTTCAATTCCTATTTTAGAATTGTCAGTTTTTCCCTTCAATTCTGTCAGTGTTTGCCTCATATATTTGGGGTTTTTTTTCTTGTTTGTTTGTTTGGGATTATATAATTGTTTTATCTTCTAGATGAATTAACCCTTTTGTAAATATATAGTGTATATTTTGTCTCCTATAACAGTTTTTGACAAAGTCTATTTTGTCCGATATTAGTATAAGCCCCCCAGCTCTCTTTTATTTACTATTTGCATGGAATATCTTTTTCATCCTTTCGCTTTCAATATCTTCATGCTTCAGAATCTAAAGTAAGTCTCTTATAGACAGTATATAGTTGGTTCATGTTTATTTTTTATCTAATCAGCCAATCTTTATTGTTTCTTTGAATAATTTTATCTATTTACATTTAAAATAATTGCGGATAAGAAATGATTTACTTTTGCCATTTTGATGTTCATTTTTGTAAGTCTTATACCTCTTATTCCCCTCAGAGATAGTTTCTGATAATTTTATCTGTCAATGGGCACATGTTTATGTTTCTTTTCATGCTTCAAAAACTTTTTTGAGGACTGTACGTTTTGAAAATTATAATGTGGTAATTCTAAAATTTTCTCCCTTCTCAAAGTTTATTGTTTTTGTTTCTAGCTGTTGTTTTGTTTAGTGACTTTTCTAAACTATTTTTATAAAGTCTGTAATCCTCATCAAATGTGATCTCTCTGAAGTCCTATTTCTTTAGTTTGTATTCAGCCGGTGTTTTGATTGAGATTTCTTTAAACACAAGCGGGGAGAGAGAGAAAGAGAGAGAGGAGAAGGAAAGAAGAGGAGGAGGATGTAAATGAAAATAATTTCTCTCATTCTTTGTAGCCTGGCTCTGTGCTGGGATAACCCTTGTAGCACTGAGTCCATTTGTAACTCTGCCTTACCCTTCACCTCCTGCTTGCACTATATCTAGGGACCAGTCAGGGGTGAAAGTTTATGGTCCTATCAGGTCTTTCTGAGCATATATCCTAAACTAGGCATGAGCATAGCTTTCTAAATTTCCCAATATATGTATTTTAGATTCTAATACATATATGTACTCTCTCCCAGATTTTTCTCACAGATTTTCATTACTCAATTGTATTGACTCAGTTGTAATTTTTGCCCTAGGCAGCTGCAAGTATTTCCTTTGTCTTACCATTTTTCCTCCCTGAGTGAGTTCTGAGGTAGGCAAAACAAAAGCAAACACCTCATTCAGTCCTTTAGCCAGCTCCCAGACAGGTTAGAACAGATAACACATTCCTTGTTAATAAGGCTAGTTCTGCTTCGCTGGAGCCAGGGATCAGGGCCACACTGGGACACAGGATGCTGTCTCTGAGACTGTCCCTAAACTGGGAGAAGGGTGGGAAAAGGGCAGATAAAGATGTCACAAAGCGTTTCTACCTTGTCTAACTTTTCTCATGATTTAAGTTCAACTTTTGGCTATTTTCCAAAATTCTGACAAAATTGATTCTGATGGTTTTTGTTTTTATTTTTATTTATGTTCTTGTGGAGGGATGAGCCCTTGGTGCTGCCTACTCCATCATTTTCAGTGACATCACTTATATTTGGCACTGTTTTTAACATATAGGAAGTACTTAACTTTAGTAATAATAATGTACTACTACATAAGAGCATTAAAAGTCATATTTTTTTAGACAAATGATTAGTGTCTCTACTACTTTAGTCGAAATAGTGCTAAAATGAGCATAGTAAGTAAAATACTGGATGCAAAGGACACAAACACTTCTGTGCAGTCTTTCCATATCTGTTTTTATTTTGTCTCTAGAAAAGCCTGCAATTCATTGATAATTTGTTATTTCTTTTACTGTAGATTGATAATACATCAAAAACAAATTTATTCTTTTAAATGTTACTTTGTCTTTTTTCTCCTCTAGATTAAATATGGGAGATGCTTTTAATTTAATCAGAGATTTTGTACTCGTTATTCAGTCCATCAGGTATAGTAAACATTTCTGCATTTGAAGATCATATAACCAGCATGGAACATTCAAATAACAACGATAATAATTTAAACACTTAATCTTTTACAGGATTTCACTAAGTGAATTATGTGATGATGAAGATGACAATGTTGTGTTAGCATTTAAACAACTAAGTGAAGCATTCAAGACCAAACTTAGGAAAAAATAGAAGACTGACAATGTTAAACTTCACGTACTGTGCCCTAGAAAACAGAGATGATCAAGAAATTTCCTGCCTCTTTGTGTTTCAGGAAATAGCTTACTACAAAGAACCACCCTTTCTTATACGACTTAGATTTGACTTGCAGGTGACCCCCTTGTTTACCTATGACAGTCCTCAACATACCCTCCAAATTCCCAGTCTTTGTCTCATAAATGATTAGCTGAACCATTTTCTCCTGCTGACCAATCTGGACAAAATGCCCACTCGCCTGACTTGACCAACTTTAGTCAAGCTGTCTCCTCCCCATGATTCTGAACTTTAATCTACCTTTAGGCTCTTCCTAAAAACTGCCTGGAGGTATCTCAGATCACCTGTCCCTGATCAACTGGCCAATATCGAATCAACTGTCCCTTATCAACCAACCTTACCACATATTCACCCCATTTTCTCACACCTGATTATTTCTAGTCTTGTTTTCTTGTCCCCATACATTAAAAATCTTTTCTGGCTAAGCTTTGAGATCCCCGAAAATCCCACAGTCGAGTGTTTTTCCTCTTGAATTAACTTCCCTTTCCCTATTGCAACAGACCTCTCCACTTACTGCAGTAGTCTTCTAGAATAAACTAAGTTGGAATCTTGAAATTGATTTCAGAAGTCTAAAATGTCTCATATTGTACCCGGTCACTGTGTGCTAAATGTTCTGTATCATTCCTCCTGTCAGATACCAGATTCTGAGTACCAGATTTTTCATTTCTCCTGAGACCAATAGAAATGTATCTCTAGGAAATTGGCTATAGGCTATTGAAAAATGTTCCATATGGAATAAAGCACTGCTATCAGCTTCACCAGTTCATCTAGATTTATTGCATATATGTCCTCACTTCCCTTGCCTGACTTCATCAATCACTTCTTCCCATGATCTAGGTTTTTGTGTTGATCCTTGCTTATGTTGGGAGCCTTCTGTAGTGGACTCATCCATCCCTATCTCTGATTTTATTCTTGGCTGTATTGTGGCATTAATCTAGGTTTTCCTCCAAACTGACCTCGGTGAATATTTTTCTTTGGCTGTTCTTAATTTACTAAATGTTGAGACACATAAAGGACCAGGCTCTACTGATGGGACAAAGGATGTGATAATTTCCAAAAGGCTTTGATGCTGATATTAAGAAGTGTAGGCAAAAGCATTGGGCAAATAGTTGGTTAGGCATCAACACACATAAAAAAAATAGCTAGAGATAAATTGCCTTTACCATAGTGGTTGTCAAAAGCATACACACACAAGCACATATGCACACATGCATGCACACACACACACATGCATATATTTTTACTTTCAAGTTTCTTGCACATCTAAGTCTGATAAGCATATGTCTGACTGCATTTTGCTGTTTTATACTTTTCTTTTAAAGTTGGCTTTAGATGTTCACTTTAGTTGTATTGCATTTGTGCAAGAGTCTTGAAAATTCTTCTGTGGGAGCACACTGTTTTTGATGGTCTCCCAAAACATGCTAAAGACAGCTATAAGCAGAGTCTCTTATTGTAGGGAGTTGATAGTTCACATTTAAATAAATTTTAGTTCAATGCAGTAATTTTTTATTAGTCCATTATACACCATTTAAAGAATTATTGGTTTAGCTAGTAAGTGAAAATTCAGTTTCATTTAAATTTGTCAATAGAGTTTTCTTTAGTTTAGAATAATTTTCAAGATAGAAGAGGAAATATTCTATAGTTTTGTTCTAATGCCACTAACAATGCAAATTTATGACAAAATCTCTATTTTGACATGTATAAAGAGGAGTACCCAGTCCTCCAAAGCCTGCCCTTGATTTAGTAGTCTTCAGCATCCCCAGCACAGATGGCAAGCAGAGCTTTCTCGTAATGCCCTGAAGCAAAATTCTGAAAAAAAAAAAAGTATTTGAAATAAAATGTCATAGTATTTCTAAAAAGAACTGTAATTCCTCTGAACTACAGTATGAAAGATTCATGGGCCATTAGCTTTTCCAAAATTATTTACTTTTTCATGTAAAGATTTAATGTGTCCTGAGAACTATTCATAGTGGAAGTTATTGAAAAATAATACCACAGTTATAGTCAATAGTATGAGGTTTTTATAAAGTTGATTGAACCCTAATGTGTATTTATAAGAAGAATAAATTGCAGTAGAAGTAAATCTTCTCTTCAACTTCAGAAAGAGGTGTCCTAATGTTATTGCTATAAATCAGTGTAATGACTAGAGGGCAAATTGGCAATATGCCTTAAAAAGTCATAAAGACATTTATGTTCATTAATGTAGTAATTTTACTTTAATAAACATAACCTAAGGAAATAGTTATCAATTACTAATGAGCACAAATATTTGTTCTAAAGAATATACACCATATTATGTATAATAGTGAAAAATTAAAAAGCAACATATAATAATGCAGGGTAGGTTATGTACTTTCTAACTTATACAATAAAAATATTTCTTTAAGTGGTAAAGCATATTAATGTTTACATATTTTTTTAAAAAGACAGAAAGCACTTATAACAAATTTTACTACTGTTTATTTGTGATAGAGTATTGAAGTAATTTTTATCTTCTTTTTATGATCTTCCATAGTTTCTGTTTTTTAAAAATAATGATAGTAATAAATAAATGAATTCTAAAAACTTTCTTTGTTAAAACTCAACTATCATATGAATGTTCTCTTATACAAAGCCATGTAATTATAATTTATTGCTTTAAATCCACATAGTAAAGTTACATTAATATGTTAATGTTAATAGATTTTTAGGTGGCTGTGATTATTTGCAGTAAATGTATTAGAATTAATTTATTCATTTATAAAATGAGTAATGACACACATTGCTCAATGAGAAATGTTTATCATCACCAAAAGTTTAGGGTTCTGAAGGTGGATGTAAGGAGAGTTTTATCAAAGACACAGAAATAAAATTTATCTTAACTGGTCCATCAACTCTTCCTCTAGAAGCTACTTCAACTATGCATGGGCTTATGAGGTATTATGGTTTTTGTGGTCCCTTGGTCTTTGGGTTATTGAGTTGCTTCTGGATCACTCTTTCAATGAACTAAAAAGCTATTTATACAATTGAAAATTTCATTGGAAAACAATGTGAGCAAGGTAACAGCATAGGTATGTGAGAAAAAGAAGATATATTTTCAGGCCCCCATGCTTGGTTAAATGCTCTGCTGGTGCCATCTTGAAATTCTTTATAATTTTCTTGTAAAAGGGATCAAACATTTTATAGGTGGTTCTATATATTCTGATGTCTTTGCTAGGTTTTATCAAACTCCGGGGTAAAGTTTAGATGTGTCAGAATAATGAAACGGGCTTGTTTACTTCTGAATCACTGTTCTTTGCCCTTCAAGGGCTAAAGGGATATATAGAATTTTACATAACTATCAAAGTTGCTGCAAATTACCATTTATGGGATTTGACTGTCTGCCCTGCCATCCATGACAATATGAAAGACAGCCACACTGATCTAAGACACCTCTTCACAATTAATGTGGTCTTCTTACAAAATGTATTTTTTTCAATGCTGATTCTACTTTAGAATCTAGCTCATAAAGCACAATTACACAAGTAGGGGATGAATGTTTGACGTTACTATGTCAATGATTTTTGCTTAAAACACATGAAGGAGGAGTAAGTTCTGTCACTGACGTGAGGGTGTTTCCTCAGCGCCGTTGATGCTCTAAAGGTTGTGTGAAGTAGATCATCCCCTTCAGAACATTTAATATTTAGATTCTAACATGAAGTTATTTAAATTAAATTTCTTGTTTCAGTTTCAAAAAGGAAAAGCTATGGGTCAAAGTAAATCATGTGTGGGAGACTTACTCTACTTACTCTGATATCATGAAATAGGGATTTTCCGTATCTCTCTTTGTATCGTTTCCTTATGGTCATCAGGTCTATTTCACTTCTGGCAATTAGGATCCTGATTAAGGTTTTGTTATGGAAACCAAAGTCCTAAAAGATACAGAAAGAGGAGAAGGGGGATGAGAAAACAGTACCTTCCAGTCGATCTGTTTAAAACAGACTCATCTCCTTTTCTACCTAGCAATTTGCTCTAGACCTGTATCCCTCAAACACTGGCCTCACCATCTGGGGAGGGCCTGTCAGATTCTCAGAGTCACCTCTGTCTTCCTTTCTCTCACTGTGTAGTACAATGAAGTATTCTACCTATTTTACTTCTTAAATACTCTGTAACCTCTATTTCCGGTGTCACTGTCTTGATGCTGGCCCTTATCGTTTCACCTTGATTCTGCCATTAGTTGCTCCTTTTCCATAAAAAGTCTTAGGGAAGGGGAATAGGAAGGGATTCTGAACTCTATTACATGAATGTTGATATGTCTTAGACAACAATTACATTTTTGTCTTATTGTCTGTTTATTATTAAAAAATTATAAAAATAAAAATTCCAGGTACTTGAAATATTTGCTGATTTAAACTCAAATATTGAAAAATACAAAAACAATTTCTGTGTACTAGCTGCAGAAAGAACACTGCTTTATGAATAAATTTCAAATTGTTTTTTCAAATGGAATAATAGTGACATCCAGTGGCCAATAAGCATAAACCATTTGATGTCTGAACATTTTAGAAGCAGACCCACTACCAAACTTTTCATTATTTGAGATGATTAAAATGAATGATCTACCCAAGTTTCCATATTTAAGTTACATATCATTCGATGAGAGCCCACTGGACAAAACACAGAGGTTTTCTTTGATTAGGAGTGGTGACCAAGATTTTACATTTAATGGCCTCATATACCAAAAGTTTGATTACTCGAATATACAATCCTCCTCTTTACCTGCAAACCAGTTGTGAGTACACACACCTTCTTTTTGCATTGCAACACACACATCAGGGATACAGCTTTTACTTATTAATAGAATAACTAGACCCTTCGCGGCATGACGAATCAGAGTAACTGTTGTGACCTTTTTCCTGCGGCCACTCACGAGGGGAGCTTTATTCCGCATGGGAGAAGGAAACGGCTGAAGGCAGACAATAGCACTGCCCAACACACTGTTTTAGATAATTTTCTAATCAAATCAACTTTTCCTGCTTGGAAAAAGAATAAAAGGGAAATGGAAGACAGTGACCATTGATCTTCCTCCTGTGTACTGAGGATGCATAGATTCTTGCATATAAATAAAAAATATTCTTTACACAGATATATAATAGAAATATTTTTGATGGTTGCATACTATTGCAGAATGCTGGCTACTTTTACAATATTTTTAAAAAATTCCTTAAGAATAAAACACTCAATTAAAATTTCTGTACTAGTGAATTGTTTTTAAAAGTTTTCAGTGAGTTTTCAAGGCTCTGATATATGTATAAAGATTTGTATCATACCTCTTTTTTTCTAAATATATTTCATGTACATTACAGATAAGGTGCGAATTGTCTTAGGCATTTAAGTGTTTGTTTCTCTAAAAATGAATGTAACAAAGGATGTAAGATAGACATTCACACTAAACTATAAAAAACATTCTGACCTGATTACAAATTTAGCTTTAGAGTTTATTGTTGTCTAGCTATCTTTTTAAAAGTATTGTTTTAAAAATAACACTTTATATTTAAAAATAGCCACTGACATTTTTTGTTTTAAAACTTCAGGAACATCGAAATTTCTTACTGAGAGTTTGTACTGTTTTGACATTTTCTGCTTGATGCCATATGTTCTGTACTTGCATAGGTATGAGGTGAGAGTATTTGGCAAGATACAAAAGAATTTGGATTTACTGGTTCCTTCAGTTGCTAAGAAACACTAAAGCACATGGGGGAGATAGGCCCCAAGGAATCATACTTCTTAGGTACCTCAGTTTGGTACAGAAAACAGAGCATTATTTTTATGTGATGAGTCTCATTTTGGTGTATACTATTTGAGCATATTTTCTGTTAAATGAATGTATTTGCATACGAGTACAAAAATGAAAATCAACATTTAAATAATGGAAGCAAAGCTAGCTCTTTGAGAGAGTAGACATGATTTCTGGAGAAATTTTTAGTATTTATGGGCCATACTTACATGGATTGCACTATGTAGCCTATAAGCAAAATAGGCTGGCTTGTCTCGAACACAGAGAACTGGAAAAAATCATAGAGAAAAGAAGAATGAGAGTGATAATATATATTTTCTTTAAAATTTGAGAAGGAAAATGCTTTTTTTTTTCTGTTATAATCCTAGAAGAGTGATACTTTGTGAGTTCTATATGAGATCCCTCATTGTACATTGTATTAAAATTTCAACATTTAGAATAGAGGTAAGACCATAAAAATAAAAAGCAACAATATTATAATGATTCATTCAGATTTTTATTAATCTCTACCTTTTGTTACTCTCTTAGTTCCTTCATATAGCCTAATGAAGAAAAATGTATCCTTCTTATCTTAAAATTAAATACGAGCTTCGTAAGACCCAGGTTATCACCACTATTATAGATTTTTATTATTGTAGGATTCAATGTGATATGGTCCCGTGAAAATGGTTCATCTTTCCAAACACTATTTTTCATCTTTTGTAGACTCATGAGTAAATCTGAGGTCTCTTAAGGAGAAATTGTATGAATCATAACAGGTCTGTCCCAGTGTTATAAGTCATCTATTAAAACTACTACATTAGAACAGCTTAGGGCCTAGTCAATAGTTGTCCTTGATGAAAGTCAGTTGATGATTATAGACATTTAATAGTGTTTATTTAAATAAGTAAATTAATGAATGAATGAATAATGTATGCAAAGCTATAATTCTAAGCAAAAATAAAATCATCATAATAGTGTTTTCTCTATAGTTCAAGTGATTATTTTAGATTGTGAGACCATGTCTTCATCTTTTACTTTATAACTGTGGACCCTGTAAGCACTCCTGAGTTGCTGCTAGAATATAAATGTCTCATATAAAAGGACAGGGACTTTTGTTGTTGCTTTTGTTATTGTTGTTGTTTTACTGTCCCATCTGCAGTACCTAAATCAATAACCAGAATAGTAAATACTCAATGTTTACTGAATGAATGAACAAATCAGTTCAATTGTTTTCTGGGATTTCTGATGTTCACTATCTCCTCTCTCATGCCCACTGCTTTGTTTGTGGCAGTGGTCTGTAGAGGAAAAAGAATAGTCTTGAGATTCAGATGACAGGGGTGCTAGTCATAACTTTGTTGCTAATTAGCTGATAGACTTTGGAGTAGTCACTGAACCTCTATGGTCTTGTTTTGATGTGATGTATAAGTATTAAAGTATTTTGAGAATTTGCCAAAATATTTGTAACTTATTGCAGAATAAATACACAGGTATTCAGATTTTATATGATTTTTTAGGAATTTCAAAGAACCCACCAAATCCTTTTTTAAATGAAATCCTAGCTTAAAACTCCTTTAGAAAATAAACTATAAAAATTCTGTTATCTCTGAGCTCCCACTCCCATGTAGGTTTGTGCCATTCTAGGAATGGAAAAGTCACGAAATTCATTTGTTCAACGAATAAGTGATTATTTGATGTGTGCCTATTACGGGGACATTTCACAATGACCCCTTATTTGCACTCCCTGCGATGTGTGCTGTCAAGTCAGAGCACAGCACAAGGTAAAGCATGGATAGTTCAATAGTAGTTTTTATGAATAGCTCCTACTGTTTTCCCATTTATAGAGGAATATGAAAGTATACCTCTCTCACAAAAGCCTGCAGAAATCACTACTAAAGTAACAACTCTGTAAATCTTTTTTTTATAGAAATCACTACTAAAGTAACAACTCGGTAAATCTTTTTTAAACCTAAAGGCAAATTTATTAGAGAAAGTGACAAAAACTCTTTTCCTCATAGAGAAAAGGAATCTATATCACTAGCATTTATCTGCTCTTTAACAAGGGAATGGAAGTCAGTATATATAAAATAAATTTTAAGGCATGAAATCCCAATTATCTGAGAGAGAGCATCTGAGAACCTGATGTTTTCTAGTAAGCAAGTTGAACCAGCTATGAGGAAAGCGTGTTAGTTCACTGAAGTTATCAGGTTGCCAGGTTAGTGCGTTGGATCAGTAGCTGATGTACTTTTCTTCAGTTGAGTTAACATCCTTTCTAAGTAGTTAAACTCAGGGGAAGCGATTCAATCAAGAGCTTACCCATGCATCTTTAGAGCCAGTCAGCATTCGTTGTGCACTAAAAGGTCAGGTGTACACCAAATAAACCATTACTTACCTATTGCAACTAGCAGCTCTTGAAAGTATCCATCATAACAGTCATTAATGGCATCTACTATGTCTTGCCCAGAAACGTTTTGGAATTCCTGGAAAACTTTAACAAATTGATACAATTCGATGGAAATTTTGTAAATATTATAAATTTAAAATACAAATATTGATTACATTGTTGTACACGGTGAAGGTAAATAAAGTATAAGGGTGGGGTTGGGTTGAAGAAGATTATCTTTAAATTTTTTATAGACTTTTGTGTGTTTTACATAAGTATAAAAAAAATTAAATAAGAGGAACAGAAAGATGTAGCAGTTGGAGACAGTCAAAGTACAGATTAATATGAGTGCACCTCTAAGACCAACAAGGCAGTTTCCCATCATCCATGATGTCGGTAATAATGATCTCACCCCATTATGGACTGATCAAGCTATGTTCTCTGTATTCTTTTCAAAGCAGCATATAACATGCCTAATTGGAAATAGCTAATATAGTTGAGTAAATTCTCCATCAAAAACAGGGATAGTTTTAAAAGGTTCAATATTTCAAGGTTACATAATTCAGTTATTAGAGAAAATAAAATTATAGGGAAACTTTATTTCTTAGTAACGTCATTAGATGAGACATGTCTGTACAAACATAATTCAAAATTAGTACCTTTGAGATAACGAGCTTTCCTCTATGTAACATTCCCCCAGCCCTATAAGTGCTTGCTTTTTATTATGTAATTAGTTAATTATCCAAAAAGAAACCTGATTAATAATTACCCAGCCACAGCTGTTGATAACTCTTGTTGCATAGGATCATTTGTAGCATGGTTTTGTGTTCCCCTGTCTTTCGCTGACAGGCTTCCCACAGGACCTAAAACGTCATACACACAGGCATTAGCGCCACAACGCCTCCAGACCAGTTTAACCAAGGTTCTTTAGAGTCATTTTGAGAGCTGGTTCTAGTTACCATTGCGTCCTGAGCAGCCATTGCAGGGTCTGTATATCCCTCCTCTCTGGTTCCCTGTAAAATAAGCACAGGTTTCCCTTTGTAACAGGTTTCCCTTTGTAACTGGTCTTAATTGACAAAAATCTGTGAACCACCAAACACACTGATAATTCCTAAGAGAGTTCGAACATTATTTAGAGTTGGATATTCCATTTATTGAATACTTTATAAAATATATTTTTAATGTGTTTATTTATCTATCTATCTATCTATCTATCTATCTATCTATCTATCTATCTATTTATTTATTTATTTATTTATTTATTTTATTTCTTCCCCCTTAATCCAGATTAGTTTGCTTTTCCAAATCCCTGTAAAGTATCTTTTCCACTATCAAAAAAAAAAAAAAAAATCTACCACCTGGCTGCGGGTGGTAGAGATGGGACTTAATATTGTTAGCGTAAAAATCTAAAGAGAAAAAAATGAGTTAATATTCAGTCTCTGACCTATAAATAGGATATTGGCAACAATAAAATAATTATAAAATCCAAATTTTGTGCAATGATCATGTTTTGTAAATTTGTTTTACTCCCATCTCTTTAGGATATGAAGAATAGACATGGCCAAATTGACCTAAGAAATGTCCATTTCAAACAGGACAAAAGGAGGGAAGGAGGGCTAGCCAAGGCAAGACACTCTGGTCCCCAAGGATTATGAAGAAAAGAGGGGAGAAAGAAGTAGGAGAGATATGTGATCAGACAGTTAATATCTAGAGGGTAGGATATATATCCACTATGGAGATATGCGCGCACACACACACTCTCTCTCTCTCTCTCTCTCTCTCTCTCTCTCTCTCTCTCTTTCTCTCTCTCTCTCTCTCTCTCTCTCTCTCTCTCTCTCTCTCTCTCTCTCTATGAATTCATATATATATATATATATATGTATATCAGTGAATTCAGTCATAAGCAAGGTTGGGCAGAGGGAAGTCCTGAATATAACTCTTTTGAGTTAATCCCAATCCCTAAGTAGCATGAATGGGCCCCAAATTTCTTATCTACTCCTGATGGAGGAACTGGCATGGTAGCTGAGAACTTGGTTGGGGAGCTTGACAGATGGAGTTGGTTTATGACCATGTCAGGAACAGTTACTGTCCCAGTAGCCAAGAACTATGAGGTGGACCACGTTGCCTGCAACTGTGAGAGAGACACAGCTAGACCTTAGGGGTATTCTTCAGCTCTAGTGAGAGCAAAGGGGAGGCTAAACCATCATGAAAGTTTACTTGGCTCTGACCAAATAGAAACAGAAAAAAGAATTATAAATTCACCAGCCATATGGCTGACAACTAACACTGAGAAATGCTCACATCCTAGACATCTATGCCTTATATGCCACATGTCCAGAGTTGCCTAGAACTGCCATTTCATAGCCAAGGTGAGCAAGGATGAAGAAAATATCTTCATGGTCTAAGGACACTATCCTCTCTTGTTGCCAAGACATCTCATACACCACACATACACACACCTCTCCACCAAGTGCCCTTTTAGAGAGAAAAAGGGAGAAGGCCAGAAATCTGACAGTTGAGTTAATGCAATAAACATATAAATGAAATTGACCCTATACTCTCATATCGACTGTTCCACATATTATATAGATTAAATTTGCCATATTAGATTAAATATTAGGGTTGTTTTCCTTTTCCTTGCTAAACAAAAGCTGGAGGCATATGAGAAATATCAATTTAATCATAGAGAAATAAACTATATTTTCTTGTGAGTAAATCTGTAGCCCTGAAAAATTGAATGCTAATCATAACACAGAAGTTGTGTATCATCTAAAGGTGGAGAGATAAGGAGAAATTGATGTAAGCCTATCAGACGCATTTATTTTGCTTCATTTTATTTCCTTAAAATATTAGGTGACTAAGAATGAGCACATGCAATTCTTGTTTTTAAAATCTGTGTACTTATATGTGTGTGTGTGTGTGTGTGTGTGTGTGTGTGTACTTTATACATGTATAAGCAAGGAATAGAAGACCACGTTTAGAGTGAACATAATTTTATTGAGTGGTAGAATTATGAGTGGTATTTGATTTTCAAATTATGGAAGTGTTGAGGTGCAGGGACCTTAGTGGTTGTATAGTTTTGCTCCTTGAAGATTAAAAATAAATAGGCTTACAGATATTAAGTAATTACTTTAACTCTGATTGTTAGAAAAAGATGATTATTTGATAGTGCTATTTGTCTCTGATATTTGGTTACTGTATGCTTAGCCAAAAGAACTCATTATTTTCCAACAATCTCCTGTAGTCACTCTTTTACAGTTTTAATTTACACAAAGCATCAAATTACTAAAAGCGATTAATATGCTATACTTTCTATGGACATGTGCCATTTATTTAATAACACAAACTTATCATAGTAATTCTTAGTCTTCACCTTATTTGACTTACCGGTAGGATTCAAAGCAATCGATCACTCTCTCCTCCTCGCTATACTTTCATCACTGGGTTTCCATCCTGCACTCTCTTTTTCTTTCTTTCTATTTCATTGATTAGTTCTTCTCAATCTTGTGCATTGGTTCCCCTTTTTACTTTTGTATCTCTTAATATTGGAAAGTTGTAGAACTCAATTTTTGATTCTGTTCCTGTCTGTATCTACAATCCTTCCCTTGTTTAAAGCCACACATGTGGCTTTAAATCATTCACATTTTCTTAGTGATTTCCAAACAAACTATATAGCTAAGTATATATGTACCCTTGCAAAGTTTGTAAGAAGTATTTAAGAATTTTTTGTAGTTCTATGTATCTGAAAATTTTTTTGAAAGATAAGATTTTGGACTTGAAATGGTGCCCATCTGTTTACTTCTTTGTGCAGTTAATTGCCAAGTGCACTTAAAGCAGACTGGTAAGTTAAAAGAATGTGAATAAGTAAGTTTGTGATTTAGCTTTTTCAACCAAGGCAGAGTCATCCTGATTTTGTTATAAAAATAGCTTAAGATAGCTTCAAAGTATGTGTACTTGATGTACATGTCAGAGAAATGGGATAAATGAGTATAGAATTTGCAAAATAAAAATGCGAAAGAAAGAAATTAAGGCAATTAAAATCTAGCTGAAAACATTTGGAGCAGGTAATTTGACTACGGGTGACCCCTGAAGGCCGTTGGCAATAACATCCCCAGAGGCCTCACTGTCCTAGGAGAATCCTGATAGCAAAGATGAGGAGTAAGCATCCAGGTGAGTAGTTTCCATTCTCTCTCTCTGTGAAAACGTTTATCAACTCCAGTGTGATTTGCACATATTGATTAATTAATCTCTAAGTGACTAATTTTTTACTATTTGACAGATAATTAGATCTCTTGTAAATCTAGTTTAATAAAAGCACACAGGAAATGTTGTGAGCCAGAGTAATGATTGGTATTAGTTTTTGAGAAGAATGTGTTCTGGCTGAGTTGTTTCCTTATTAGAAATAGCCCTGTAGGAAAATACTTTATAGATTAAATGAAAGATCGTCTCTCCCAGAAAATATGACAGTGATGTTCAACACTTTCCATTTCATGAATAGCTGCAGTCTCCAGTGCTCCAATTCCCTCAATCTATTAATTCACAAAAAGAGGTGTGTCTTAATATCCGTGATGTGAAAAAGATGAAAGCCCTGGACAGTCTTTTCTTTAATTCTGAAAGTGACCATGCAGAGGGAGGTAGAGAATGTAATTAAGACAACTGGAGAACTTTAGAATATTTGTATTGGGAGAGCATTGAGAAAAAAATGGGTTCACATACCTTAATTATAGAGTAAATCTCTAATCTGAACCACAAGAAGTTTAAATGATAAATTCAAGGACATGACACTGACTTATAACATAGCCAAGAAAAACGGATATATAAATACATACCTTGTTGTATTACAGAGAATCTATCTATCTATCTATCTATCTATCTATCTATCTATCTATCTATCTATCTATCTAATCTATTTATCATCTATCTATAAATCTAGATCGATGGTAGATGACAGGTGATAGATTAATAATAGACAGACAGGGACAGAGAGAATAATAATCCCAGTGAGAGGGTGGAAGAGATTTGGTTACCCTGCAGCACTCCTCAGTTGTCTAGTTGGAACTCCTCAGCTCTCAATTTCACAACCCTTTAGGAAGGAATTCTATTTCCTTTTAGTAAAATATTTAGACAGATTCTCTCTAAAGTGGTGTATACCACAGTGGAGAGAAGTGATGAACTTTGTCAATTCCCTGATTCACTTTATATCTTTTTCTAATCTTCTAAATTTACTGATCTAAATCTTAAATCAGGAGTTTTAAACTGAAGAGTCATTTGTGTAGAAGTCAGGAGTCAATGGGGAATCTTCAAAATATTTAAAAGTTTAAGATAATTTATACATTTTACTAAGAAGTATGAATTACATAGTATTTTTGATTTTCAAAAAGACTATTAAGGGAGATTATACTTAGATATAGCCTTTCAAAAGTTTTTTACTTCCATTTTCTATTATGAGTGAAGTAATTTATACGGAATATGTATTATTTTAAATACATAAGTTGTGTTTTTAATTTTAAGGGAAATGTAGTGTGAAATTTTGTATAATCTTTAAGTAACCCTTATTAACTTTTCTTGGCTTCTGATAAAATCTAGGTCTCTATTCACCCTCATTTTTGATATTCTATGTTGAAAGGAAAATTTTACTACATTGGAAAGCTATTTTAAAGTTAAACACACACAAACACTCAAAGTTTGACCTCTACAAATTTAATTTAAGAAGTTATACTTTATCCTGTTAAGTCATAATACAAATTAGGTAAAACCTAGTGATAAAATCAATTGTTGCGTGTTATTTAAAAATATGTGTATCTATATAGATGATACTATTAATATGAACACTCATACTTACATACTCTTCAATAATAAAGCATTATTGTTTAATTTCAGAAAAAAAAGGAACTGCAATTATGAACATGGTTGATTGTCCTATTACACCAGGAGAAAACATTGTTCATTGATTTTTCCCCCTTATGATATATTTTCTCTTATGTTTAATTTTCAGAAGTGTTTTTTTTGTTTGTTTGTTTTTTTTACCTGAAATACAAGAATGCTTGCTTTATGAAAATACACTGTGATCTTGATTCTTAGTTACTTTTAGGTGGTTTATAGCTCAACCTTTAAAAAGATACTCAGATTCTAAGAGGTTATTTGTGTATCAGTCATTGAGGTTTTATCAAATAGAAGTAGAACTGCAATGGAATCAAACAAGGTTGGAGGTAGGAACAATTAAACTGGACAGTGGAAGGACAGCGTCATTAGGTGTTTTCATATTAGCTCTTTCATCCAGTAAATGTGTAATGTTGGGCAAGCCATTGAACCTCTCTGGGCTTCAGTTTCTCCATCTCTCCAAGGAAGGCATAGAGAAAGCTGGGCTCCCTGGGAAGCTGACTGCGATGCAGATCAGCAGGCATCTTGTTTATTATGGAATGTGCTTGAGATCAACATCCGTGTGAGGGAGAGAAGCAGATTTGGCAGAAGGAGAAGAAGCTGAATTGATGGAATGCAAAGTAGTCCTAATGAAACACTTTTTTTCTCCTACTAGATGACATTTTTATGTAATAATTAAAATCGATTTCTACTTGGGTATTAAGAAAATAAAAACTCGTTTGATAATAGAATGCAGTTCGTAGATTTACAATGGGACTGTTAGCTTTCCTCCTCTATTCGGAGCAATACGTACATCAACATAAATTTCTGACTGGAAACTATTGTTTTAATTTATGTTATGTAGCATCATTAATTCATAATTAAAAACTAATGTCCCTTCTAAATTGAGAGAATGTTTTAATTAAAATTAATCTTATGACATTTACATTAGAAAATATTCAATTAATAGGCTGAGATTATTTTTAAATATTAATAATTTTTATTAAAATTTTTTTCTTATAATGACTTTAATATCTTACAAATTAAAATAAGCATATTTCTACAATTTACACAGAATCTCAAGTTGGACTGTAAGAAACCAAACTATCTACTCTCAGGTTGTTATTTTTTGATAGTCACGTAAGTGGCACTAATGTAATAGTTGGAATGATAAACCGATGTTATAACCCTAGAGATTAGAATCCTCAGAATAGGACTTAATTAATTGAGACTGGTGATATGAGCAATTTATGAACTATGCAGCCAAATCATGCAAATCCAAATCAAACCAAATCAAAACCAAACACAATAAAGCAAATTCTTGATTTTGTTTTTAAAATTTGGAATATTTAATTAAAAAGTCAGTGGATTTGCTTGGTACTCTGACACTTTTTTCAATTGAACCATTTGTAGGACTCCAATCAGTACAAATTACCACTCTGTCAATGTAGGGCAGTTAACACTTGGCTTCCTCAGTAGTGCTTTCTTTTGAATTTCTTTATTCCTAATTCTACACTGACAATGACTGGGATGCGTGCACACGCATGCACGCGCGCGCGCGCACACACACACACACACACACAGAATTAAAATCCATATTTCCTGGCAAGAGATGTAATTGTTAGTTTGTGTTCCAATCTGGCTAATATATTTATCCATTCTTTTATTAAATCATACAAAATATATGTAGAGTATGAAGTTTTTAATCACGTTAAAAACATTAAAGGAAATCACATCTCCTGTATTTGATTGGACATGTAAATCTTCTCCAGATGAGGAAGATAGCAAAAAAGAAATGGTATATTATTCATATTTGTTTGTCTCTATACCTAACTCATGTTTCTATTATACTGCCTTGAATTTAGCTAATAATATCCAGTAACTGTTATTTTACAGAATTTACTGTTCAAGTGGAGTAAACGAGTTTTCTGTCCTGGTTTTTGAAAATGAAACATATCTATTTTAGGTGGGAATTTGGTGTATCTTACCTGGACCAAGTTCACAAGAGAATCTCTGAAGTGTCCTGAGGTCTCTGAGTAAATGTCCTCCTGAAGGTTACTGCTGTATTCTAAATAAGAAAACATCCATGTTAAAGGTATGATGTATTACAGAACCACATATCAATGTGCTTTGAATAAGTAATGCTACTTCTCCAACTGCGAGTGGAAAATACAGGAAATATAATCAATCTGTGGACATTTGTCTTTTACTACCTTGTACTCAGATAAAGCCAATAAACAGTTCACCATAGAAATCTGACACCTAAGAGAACATAGGCATGAGTCTATTTTCTTTAAAAAAAATTATCTTCATTCCAAATTATCTTCATTCCAAGTCATTCCACATTTTATAATTCTCCAAATTCAGAATTATGCGTTCTATTTCCATAGACTGCTGCTCATCCCAGAGCTTTTCCCAAGAGCTTTGTCTCATTTTAATATTTTAAGTGAAGGTTCTTACGCCATTCCCTTTGGGAAAGTCTTGTTTTTGTTCAAATGCAATATAGCTGACTATCTGGAACATCTTCTTGACATTCAATATCACATTGTACATGATGGAATGGAATGTAAGGCATTATACCTTTTGAAAATGAAAATAGTTAGCCTTTCCACTTTTAAAATGTGTAACAATCTGATTTTGAGGTATATTACGAAATTTATGTGACCTGACGTCGTTACCTATATTTGTAGAACCTGCTGAAATGCACTTTGCTTTATTTTGTCTACATTCCTGGTCTCTCCTGGGTAAGAGGTATAATGCTCCCCAGACCCTTGGGCTGAACACTTGCCTATCTTAATGTAAAAGTTCACCTCATAGAAACTTGTAATTATTTTCTCAGAAAATTTGCTTAATTAATTGCCTACGAAATTGTTTCATTTTTTTACTCTAATCACCAGTTTTCTTAATGAGTTAATTGGTACTGAGTAAGTGATATTTCAAATATAAGAGTATCTTAGAAAATTCTTTAAAATACATAAACTGGATTTTTTTGTGTGTTATTTGAAAAATATGAAGTATATGTGTGTATAAAATATATGTATATATGTATATTTCCTTACGCAAATAGTAGGCTTCTTGCATCTGGAAAATTTCTCCTTTTGTTCTTGAAGCTAATATGTCAATGAGACAGTTCTCTTCAGTGCCTGCTCCCTGGAGAGAGAGAAGTAGAGAAATGTAAGGGTATTTGTACAGGGAATAATAGTGCACCTTATGTAGTATAAATGTATACAGCTTTCCTGAAATTCTGACAGGTGGCAGAGGCAAAACGAATTGTATTTGGAATCAAGATAGTCCCAATTCAGTGCTGGTGTTCCTATTTATCAGCTGTTTGATCCTGAGAAAGATATTATTACCTGAAACTGTTCTTTCATTTCGATTAAAACAGCGTAGGCATTTCTAAATAATGTGGAAAAAAGATGTTTAAACAATGCTTATGAAAATGATTTTTTTTTTTTCCTGCTAGGATATCAGTTCTGTGGAAAGCTGAAACCTGGCTCTCCTAAATTCCCAGTAATATTTCAGAGAACTCATCCTGCATCTCTTTAGATGTGAAATTTGTACCATTTGCGTAAACATTTGCACTGGGTACTTTCTAGAGTCTGTTACAGTGATTTTAAAGACAACACATCTTGTCTATAGCCATGCCACTCTGAACAAGCCTGATCCTGTCTGATCTTGGAAGCTAAGCAGGGTCAGGCCTGGTTAGTACTTGGATGGGAGACCACATATGAAGACCAGGTGCTGTAGGCATAAAAATAAAATATAAGGGATTGTAAACTGACAAAGTCCTCGCAATCTGTGAGGTCAACCAAGGGTTACCTCACATCTTTTTCTGGAACACTTCAATAATCCTTACCATTCTATGAGATATTTTATAAAATATTACCATTTCATCCAAACAGTAACCTATAACTTCTCACAGATTTTAGTCGCATAATTTTGCAAGAGATTGGAATCGACATATGCAACTTAAAAAAAGAGCGATTAGTTGAAACTCATGTGAATTCTATACAATGCCTATTCTGATCTGCAAATATATGATGATCGAAATCCAGGTTCCCTAATTTTTTTTCTCTTTTCCTCTTTCATGTCACACATTGTGGTAATTCGGTCATTGGCAGGCATCGTATTGGAAGGATTTCAACAGTTCTGCAGGTGTTTAATAACAACATTTGAAAAGATGTAAAAGGCTTTTGTCCCGCATCCCTAGCCAACAAAATTTCTAACAAATCTGTAGTCAAATTATTTCATAGAAATGACTTTCCTGTGAGGAAGAATGGTTCTAATTCTTCAGAAGTAAAATTTTGATACATTTGAGCAATACTTTTTGTAAAGGACAGATTTAAGATCGCAAAAATATCCAAATAAAAATGTCATTTGTATTTTGTCTGACTCATTATCCTATTTTTACTTAATGAGTTCAATTTTTATAAATAATTTAAAGAGGTTCACAACATAACATTTTCCCTTAATATGTGAATATATACTGAGGAGAGATAAATCTGAATAGACCCTGAAGCTTATTTACTTTTTCCTCTCGGTAGCTTAGCTGGGCCAGTGAGTCTGAGTTTGTGTAAGAAAACTGGGCTACTCCCAGCCTCTGGGCTCCAGAGCCCCCTCTTCCTAAGAGGGTCACTTGTCCTGGCCACGGCATCTCTGTTGTTTCATCTTTGCCCAGATATTCCCTCCTCCTTCCTGATTACAGGTAGCAACATCACAGGACAGTTACTTCTCTGCCAAAATATTGGCCTGTACCGGTTACAGGTGTATTTTTGCATCAGACCACTACCTTCATGGCATGCCAGAGTTCGTGAGCATCATAAGATGGTGGTGGGTACATGAGGCCAACCATAACATCTTTGAAGTGATCTGAGAGCTTCTCCTTCAGGTCACCGATCAGGTCCTATGAAGGAAAAAGTCAATACTTTTATTACCAATTTTACAAGAGAAATGGAATAATTGCAGAAAGCCTTCTAGTAAAATGTCTTTTTCTGTCATTTCACATAATAACGAGTTTGGTTTTGATTCACACATATATAGATGGATTACATGAGATGATGGACTTGAGGGTTTGAAAATGACTGAGGTAATCACATCTTTCCATGAGATGTTATATCATCTATATGGACACTCTATCAGATGAGTATGGAACGATATTCTTTCTCTAATCTCAACCCCAATCCTTTTTTGACTTCATTATAAAAATAAATAAAAACCTCAATTTCTCTAGAAACTGCAATCCTGAACTTCAAGTTGTAGAACTGGTACAAGAGTCAGTTATCTAGATGTATGGGGAAGTCTATTTTATTTCATTTCATTTTATTTTATTTTATTTATTTTATGGCAGTCTTTCTTAGCAGGAGTTTCTTGGTTATACTATTGCCAAAAATCTTGTGCAAATGATCTAAGTAATCATAGTACTTTCTTCAAATAATCATGTTAATACATTTATTTAAATATTGAAAGTTAAACACTTATAGAGAAAAACAAGCATGCTGAACTTTTGTCTTTGGAAGACAGATATAAAAGTATGAAGTTGATAATAATATTATTCTAACTTATTTTATGTGTGTAGAGTGGATATTTAAAAATATTTATGTTAAATTTATCTTTTGTAGAGTTACAAAGGTATCTGAAAGATGTTTAAAATTTATCATTTCTTGCTAAAATGTATAGAGTATATTCAGTTATTCAGTTTTACTTTACAAGACACAATATTTTAGATCTGAGGTGGTTCAATAATAGAATTCAACTGAAAGATCTTAGTAAGGCATAATAAGCTTTAATAGAATAAAAACAAAATAGTTATAATTTTTATTTTGATTAGTAGAATCTGACAGCACCTTTCCTATGCAGTGATTTTCTCTTCCAGCAAATAAAAGCATTTATCCACATGGTGGTAATTGGTAATACAGAGAATCTATTGAATTTTTGCTAGGGTCAATGCAATTCACTTAATGAGCAGTTATGTCCAGAGTTATGTCAGGTACTTGGAATATAAAAATGAAGCGTAAAATCTCTTCTTTTATGGAGCTTATGTTCTGTTTAATTCCTTCATTATTTGCCATTGACTTTTTCTGATTCCTTTGCCAAATAGTTATTAAGGTGCTATTATGAGCCAGGTACTCTTCTAGGTACTGAGGCTATAGCAATAAATGAAACAGATATGAATATAGGAGCTTGTAGAGTTTATATTCTCATGTACACAGAAGCTCAATGAATGGTTTTTGAATGACAGGTTGCAGTTACTCAACAGGTTATTTGTTTAATACTGTTTCTCAGACATGGTGGTAAGTGTGGGAGAAATACAGCACAGCTTCTCTGTTTTCAAGATCCACATTTTACAAACTCAGAGATAACATAAGTAAAAACGTGAGCTCATATAGGTTCTAAGGCTTTTAATATCATTTTTTCAAATTTTAAGATCCTAAAGTAGTAGTTCAAGAGGGTTAAAATAATTCAGATAAGAGATTAAAACGGATTTATAGGATTAGGGAAGTGTAACATATTTGGGCAAGAAAGAACAAGCAGCATTGTGACAGAAGATGGAGAAGCCATTCGTGATGGTTCATTTTATGGGTCCACGTGATTAGGCTAGGTACTCAGCTATTGGTCAAACACTATTCTAGATGTTTCTGTAAGGTGTTTTTAGATGAGATTAACATTTAAATCAGTAGATTTTGTGAATAAAGCAGATTATCCTCCATAATGTGGGTGGGCCTCATTCAGTCAGTGGAAGCTCTTAATAGAAACAGACTGACCTCTCCCCAGGAGGGCAGAATTCTGCCTGCAGACCACCTTTGGAGCTGCAATTGGGTCTGTCTCTAGCCTGCCCAAACCACACAGATTTTGAGATTGCCAGTCTATACAACACCCTGAACTAATGGTTTAAAATCTCAGACACTCACACTCTCTCTCTCTTTCTCTGTTTCTCTCTCTCTCTTCGCCCCCTCCTCTCTCCATACACACACACACACACACACACACACACACACACACACACACACACAC